GAACTGAAAAAGCCGACAGAGTGGCCATTTACAGAATAGATTCACTGCTCTTGTAAATGGATCTGTTAACAGATGTGCACACAAAACTTAATTTTTTTCAGAAAGACCAGAGTCAAGAAGTGGAGACAAATAACCAGAACTCTCTACTGGAGTTTTCAGCTGCTGAACATGAAGAGGCAGAAGCAGCAAAATTAAAAACTTCTATATCAGACTGCAGGTTACACATTGACCATGGGGGTGTGCCCTAATATAAATGTGCTACAGGGTTGAATGTGGTTTCTGGGACATCCTGTGATTCTCATCCTTGAGGTGTTAATCCTATGGACATCACTTCTATAGAGGAACAACCACTGCCACCACTTAACTTATATAATTAGTTGCTTAATACAGTGTATTTTGGTTTGAACCATTGAACCCTGGGCTGTCAAGCTAGAACACTATCCATTGGGCTATTAAGGTCTCACAATCTGAAGACAAGAAACCGAAGAATAACTGTAATTACCTTTGCATGGTCCCTTGTAGTTGACCTTCAGTTGGTTGTTACCTGTCTGACATGCAGTGATAGCTAGGGACCTGTAGTTGGAGTAGGTCTTTCCATCTGTACCACATACCTAGACAGACAAGAACAAGTCAGTGGCAGACAAGAACAAGTCAGTGACAGACAAGAATAAGTCAGTGACAGACAATAACCGAGTCGTTGACAGACAAGAGTGAATCAGTGACAGACAAGAGTAAACCAGTGACAGACAAGAGTGAGTCAATGACAGACAAGAGTGAATCAGTGACAGACAAGAGTGAATCAGTGACAGACAAGAGTGAACAAGTGACAGACAAGAGTGAATCAGTGACAGACAAGAGTGAGTCAATGACAGACAAGAGTGAATCAGTGACAGACAAGAGTGAATCAGTGACAGACAAGAGTGAATCAGTGACAGACAAGAGTGAATCAGTGACAGACAAGAGTGAATCAGTGACAGACAAGAGTGAACCAGTGACAGACAAAAGTGAATCAGTGACAGACAAGAGTGAACCAGTGACAGACAAGAGAAAAGAGTGAGTCAGTGACAGACAAGAGTGAACCAGTGACAGACAAGAGTGAACCAGTGACAGACAAGAGACAAGAGTGAGTCAGTGACAGACAAGAGTAAATCAGTGACAGACAAGAGTGAACCAGTGACAGACAAGAGTGAACCAGTGACAGACAAGAGTGAGTCAGTGACAGACAAGAGTGAATCAGTGACAGACAAGAGTGAACCAGTGACAGACAAGAGTGAATCAGTGACAGACAAGAACAAGTCAGTGGCAGACAATGACTCAGTCAGTGAAGAACTGAGTCATTATAGACAATAACTGAGTCAGTGACAGAAAATAATCAAATATGTGACAGGCAATAACCAAGTCAGTGACAGAAAAGAACTGAGTCAGTGCCAGACAACAACTGAGTCAGTGACAGACAATAACTGAGTCAGTGACAGACAATAACTGAGTCAGTGACAGACAATAACTGATTCAGTGACAGACAATAACCAAGTCAGTGACAGACAAGAATGAGTCAGTGACAGACAATAACTGAGTCAGTGACAGATAATAACTGAGTCAGTGACAGACAATAACTGAATCAGTGACAGACAATAACTGAATCAGTGACAGACAATAACTGAGCCAGTGACAGACAACTGAGTCAGTGACAGACAATAACCGAGTCAGTGACAGACAAGAATGAGTCAGTGACAGACAAGAATGAGTCAGTGACAGACAATAACTGAGTCAGTGACAGACAATAACTGAGTCAGTGACAGACAATAACTGAGTCAGTGACAGACAAGAACCAAGTTAGTGACAGACAAGAATGAGTCAGTGACAGACAATAACTGAGTCAGTGACAGACAATAACTGAGTCAGTGACAGACAATAACTGAGTCAGTGACAGACAATAACTGAGTCAGTGACAGACGATAACTGAGTCAGTGACAGACAATAACTGAGTCAGTGATAGATAATAACCAAGTCAGTGACAGACAAGAATGAGTCAGTGACAGACAATAACTGAGTCAGTGACACACAAGAACTGAGTCAGTGACAGACAATAACTGAGTCAGTGACAGACAATACCCAAGTCAGTGACAGACAAGAACTGAGTCAGTGACAGACAATAACTGAGTCAGTGACAGACAATAACTGAGTCAGTGACAGATAATAACTGAGTCAGTGACAGACAATAACTGAGTCAGTGACAGACAATAACCAAGTCAGTGACAGACAATAACCAAGTCAGTGACAGACAAGAACTGAGTCAGTGACAGGCAAGAATGAGTCAGTGACAGACAATAACTGAATCTGTGACAGACAAGAACTGAGTCAGTGACACACAAGAACTGAGTCAGTGACAGACAATAACTGAGTCAGTGACAGACAATAACTGAGTCAGTGACAGACAATAACCGAGTCAGTGACAGACAAGAATGAGTCAGTGACAGACAAGAACCAAGTCAGTGACACACAAGAACTGAGTCAGTGACAGGCAATAACTGAGTCAGTGACAGAAAATAACTGAGTCAGTGACGAACAATAACTGAGTCTGCAACAGAGAAGAATTGAGTCAGTAACAGAGAAGAACTAAGTGGGTGACAGACAATAATTGAGTCAGTGACAGAAAAGAGTTGAATCAGTGACAGACAATAACTAAGTGACAGACAAGAACGGAGTCAGATAGACAATGACTGAGTCAGTGACAGACAGGAACTGAGTCAGTGTATTCGCTGATGGGCAAAGTCTGTCTTAAACTAGTAAAAGTCTCACCATCTAAACCACACACCTAGACAGCACAACAGTACAAAACTTCACAATAAGATCACAGAGGGATTAAGTTTAAACAATTCATTTCAAAGAAAATTCAAATTTATCAGCTGAAGCTACATGACTTTTATAATCTTATTCTGCATTTACCTTTATCATTGTGGTTGGCATGTCATGTTGTGGTTTACAACTAGGCTGTGATATCTGCATATTTCAGCCCAAAAAATCTGATTTCAGCACATGCTTGCTTAAGAGCAGTTGGTTTATTCTTTTCTTCCCTCCAAAGTGGGGCCCCATAACCCAGATGGGGTTTAATAATCGCTGTGAACAGACGGATTATAAATGGGAACATATAAATGGGAATATGACAAAACAAAACTGGCTTAGAGACACAAACATTACCTTCCCAGGATCTGGGCAGTTCTCATCTTGACAAGCACAGCATTTGGCAGCTACGGGTCCAGCAGATGTGTCACCTGGAGAGAAATATGAATGGCTGCATTAACTTTGCAACTGCTCATTCAGTAAACAAATTTTTTACTGATTTTTTAGTGTGCCAATTTTTACTGATTTTTTAGTGTGCCAATTTTTACTGATTTTTTAGTGTGCCAATTTTTACTGATTTTTTAGTGTGCCAATTTTTACTGATTTTTTAGTGTGCCAATTTTTACTGATTTTTTAGTGTGCCAATTTTTACTGATTTTTTAGTGTGCCAATTTTTACTGATTTTATAGTGTGCCAATTTTTACTGATTTTTTAGTGTGCCAATTTTTACTGATTTTTTAGTGTGCCAATTTTTACTGATTTTTTAGTGTGCCAATTTTTTTTTATTTCAGCTGAAAGGATGCATCTTTTTATTCAACTGTTACCATAGAAAACAGTCTAATGATGAATCTTTGGATCCATCAAAGATGCAAACAGCGGTGAATGGAGAGTGAGAAGCAACAACAAAATTCATAATCTGTTTAAATCACCACTGATCACTGACATCATGAGAGCTAATAGACTGAAATGGTTGGGGCATATTGAAAGAATGTCAGATGACAGAGAAGTAAATACTGTACACACCAGGGAGATGAATGGTCGTACACCACGAGGCAGACCAAGAAGACAGTTAAGAGATAATATCTAGACAGACCTGCAAACACTTGGTGTCACCAACTGGAAAGAGAAGGCCAACCAGAGAGATGAATGTAGGTGGGTGATATCTGCAGCAATGAACCTCAAGGGCTCAGAATGCTGAAGAAGAAGAAGAAGAAGTTACCATAGTGTGCATCTGATGAGACAGATGCAGCTAAATATGCATTGTTTTAGTGGGTGTTTATTGAAACTAGCTGAAGCCATAACAATAAAAATGAACTATAACAAATGGCAGTCTGAGACTTTACAGCATCACAGCATATCAAACAACCGAGCACCCTCTGGCTCAGTTGTCTATCCTCTGTTAAACTGTAATGCCTAGCAACACAAAGCAGGTACTGGACAAAAGACGATTCCCTTACAGGCTCCAGTTTTGTTCATCCATCACGAGTGGTGAGGACCCCTTTTCATCCAATGTAGTAATGATCAATGATTATGAGTTCCAAAGTGGCTGATTAGTCCAAATGAGCCTGGAAAGTTCAAGAGAAGTGCGGACAACAGATGAAAGCCACAGTAAGTGTTGGATCGCAGTATGATTTTTTCTAGTCTGCCTCCGTTTCTCGCCTGTGCAACCTCCGCTGTCTGGTAGGACGATGCACCATGCCTGAGAGACGTAGGCCATCCAGAATGGTCTTAGGCAGCAGCCTCCCACCTCGCTGTGTTGATGCCAAAAGAATTGAGAGCAGTCTTGAGAGTGTCCTTATAGCGCTTTTTCCGTCCTCCATGAGACCTCTTCCCTTTGATAGCTTGATGAAAATAACTTGTGCAAGGACTTGACCCAGTAACAAACAGGTGGCAAAGTATCTCAAAAATAAAATATTCACCATGGCGCTGGGACTCATTTACCAGGATCTTCCCTGTGTGGGTTCAGGGCTCCATTTTAAGGTAAACAAGAATCGACCCACAGCCCCCTCACAAGCATGGTGACTAATTAGGAGTTTGCTGAAGTGTTGGGCTGAAAGATGCAGATATCACTGCCTAGCTGTCAATCAAAATACAACAAAACCAACCACCCTTTTAAGAGCAAACATAGAAGAAAAAGAAGAAGAAGACAGAGAAACCAGTCATTGTGGGTGCCAGATTTTTAGCATGCTCTGTAAAGCATTATAGAGCACATTTTGTGACAGTTGGTAGGAAAAAGAAAAAGCATAAAGAAGACTTGCCAGCTGGTATTTAGGATACTTACGAACACATGTCCCTGAGCTGCTCTTGGAGTATCCAGCGCAGCACTCACACAGAAAACCTCCAGGTGTGTTGACACACTGCGAGTTTGCCCCACAGTTGTCAATCTGGTATTCACATTCATCTATATCTGAGAGTTGAAACAAAACAGTCAAATATGAACCGGACTTACAATATTAAGACAGTTGCTAGTGGTAAAAAAAAAGTTAAGACACTGGCACCACATATAAAGAACATAAGTTCGAACTCTCACAGTACCAAGCCTTAACTCCTCCTATCCTAAGGAGATGAGCTTAAACACAATAAATATGAAGGTCTTAAGGATTTAAACAAAGATAGTATAGGAGAGAAGTTCTTCTTATAGTCCATGCTGTGTGGTGTTGGTAGTCATGTCTATCCACAATCTTTTGTCTCATATCTTCCTTTAGTCTATGCCGTGTGGTGTTGGGAGTCATGTCTATCCACAACCTTTTGTCTCCTATCTTCTTATAGTCTATGCCGTGTGGTGTTGGTAGTCATGTCTATCCACAACCTTCTGTCTTCTATCTTCTTATAGTCCATGCTGTGTGGTGTTGGTAGTCATGTCTATCCACAACCTTTTGTCTCATATCTTCCTTTAGTCTATGCCGTGTGGTGTTGGGAGTCATGTCTATCCACAACCTTTTGTCTCCTATCTTCTTATAGTCTATGCCGTGTGGTGTTGGTAGTCATGTCTATCCACAACCTTCTGTCTTCTATCTTCTTATAGTCTATGCCGTGCAGTGTTGGAAGTCATGTCTATCCACAACCTTTTGTCTCCTATCTTCTTATAGACTATGCTGTGTGGTGTTGGTAGACATGTCTATCCACAACCTTCTGTCTCCTATCTTCTTATAGTCCATGGTGTGTAGTATTGGTAATTATGTCTATCCACATAAAGCCTTTTGTTCCTTGTACTTTCAATCAGTTCTGACACAGATAATCTTTCCCATCATGATGTCAAGCTGTCCAGCATCTTCTCTTTTGGTATCCCTCTCTCTCTTTTCCCCTCCAACTTTCCCACCATCACGATGTGCCCAAGTTTTCTCCTACTCCTGACATGACCAAAAATGGTAAATTATCTCCTTGTGATGTGGGCAATCAGTTCTCTTTGTGAGTCAATTTCTTCCAAGCCTTCTTTATCATTCTTTACATTGATCCAGGATGTTTTCATAATCATCTGTAAATCCCCTTCTCTGTCACCCTCCCATAATTTGTCACTACTTAGTCAACTGTCCATGATTCACTTCCAAACATCAGGAAATGGTTTATATAGCTCTTAAGAATTCACTTTCTCACCTCATTTGACAAAACAAAAACTGCACAGAATATTTTTCATTTTGCAAAATGCTGCCTTTGTTTGATCTGTCCTACATTTAATTTCTTTAATATACCTTCTATAAACAGATACAGAAGTAGTTAAGCTAACACACAAGAGGTTAACCCTTCCCCCTGGAAAAGCTGAAAAACTGACACTTCCAGTTGGGTCCTGTTTCATGTAAATGTCAATTTTCTGACTTTTTTATTGTTACCTGTTTACGAGATGTATAGTTAAGGCAAACGGCTGAGTTTGCGCCTGCACAAATGTTCAGGAGGTCAGGATATTAATAAATTAATTAACAATAGCATTTAGAGGGGTTTCCTTTGTCCGTTATGGCTTTTCTTAAAGCCACAATGATGTAAGATTGTCTTAGAAGTGTCTATGGCAAAGGTCACAGGGTCAGGGCTTGAGTCAACCGATAGGTGTATGTTTTTTAGGCCCCCTGGGATATATTTGATTTAATGCTTCGCTCTGTAATGTTTATTGATTATTCCTTTTATTTATCTTTATATATTTCTAAAAATAATTTAAAAATGTCAACAAATATATTTTAAACAAATTTATTAGTGACCTGTATAAAAATTGTTGTTTTTTGGACATTTTTTTCTTCAAAAGGAATCTTAACGGGGGTCATGATTTTTTTTTTTGAGTTCTCGACATGAAAGAGTTAAAACATGTATAACCTTAGTTTGTGACAGAAAGTTATTTGGAAGCTGCAGAGATGTGGTTTTACAAATGATGAGAATCCCAGGACAGTTAAAAAAAGAGTAATGAAGATATTTTGAAACAAACTGACTCACGAAGAAAACTGATTGCCAACATCAGAAAGAGACAATCTACATTTTTTGGTCATGTGATGAAAAGGAGAAGAATGGAGTACATTGTGACAGTAGGAACGTTGGAGAGGCAGAGGGGGACCGAGAGAAAAGATGCTGGACAGTTTGACATAATGGCATGGAGGATCATCTGTGTCACAGTTGACTGAAAGTACACAAGACAGAAGGTTGGGGATAGACATGACTACCAACGCTACACGGCATGGACTTGAAGAAGAAGAAGAAGTTACAAAAATTAGCAAAAAAACATTAAACTTGAAATACCAAGAAACACAAGTGAGTTGTTTGGAAGTGTTGCATGTTGTGCATACAAAACTAACCAGTGACTGAACAAAGCATAAAATGTAGTGTGAAGTGTAGTTATCCTATCTTATTGTGATCCTTTTAAAATTTGCGTTGTCGAGGTGAAGTATAATTTACAAGAAACTGCCCATTTGTTTGCTTGATAAATTGGGATTCCCAGAGACCCTCAAGAAGTGCAGTTATGATGCATGAGATACAGTTGTCATAAGAACTGCTTTGGTTTGGGGAGTTGACAAGTTTTCAGCCACTGAGGATATGTTTGTTCTGAAATCTTGGGAGGGTCGAACCAGTGGATCCTTTGTCCCTAGAGGGACAAATCGACCAAGCTGCATGCAGCTGCCCTGGATGGGTCCTCTGGGGACAATACCTGTGGATCAGGGTATGACAAAGTCATCAACATACATGAGTTTACAAACGTCCCATGAAACTAACCAGGAAGGCTAACCTGTATAATGAATGCCCAAAGAAGTTGCATGTGTTGGATGTGTTGGCTGAAAGGTATAAATGTTGTAGCTATGCTGTGAAAAGGCACAACAATGCATTTACATTGCACAGATGAATGACAAAGGAGTAGTAGAAGAAGAAATTACCATGACATGTCTTACCTTTACATTTGTAGCCATTACCAATGTAACCCTGCTCACACACACATCGGAAAGAGCCATCAGTGTTCAGACAGGTCTGGCCAATCATATTACAGCCTGAAACACCGGTTGCACACTCGTCCACATCTAAAGATAGAAACAACAAGCTTGGCTCAAATCATGTGACAGATTTTTTGTCGAGTGATGCTCCCATCATATTTAGCCTGAAAGAAACTCGAGTTTCTTGCCAGCTCTCCCACCACATGTATTTTCACTTGTATCTTGTGGCCATCTTTGTACTGGTTGGCCCCTGCCCCTCTTTTTTGGTACCCTGCCTTTTCTTCAAACTGACAAACATGGCTATCATGAAAATAAATCAGCTTCATGATTCAGCATCTTAACACAACACTATAACCAGAAAATAAAGAGAAAACCAACAGAGCTTGTTAGACATGGGTTTTGTCCATAGTCTAGTCCACAGTCTAGGTATTCTATGCCCAGGAGGTACCAATGTCCAGCAAACCTTCATCTAAGCAAATCTTCATCTAAATAGTTTTACTATTGTCAAAATATTTCTAATATTATTATTATAACAGTTATGGATCATTAACATTTGTATTTGTACTACTATTTTATTCTTATTATTATTATACATTATCACTATTAGTTTTATGACTATTGTTTCGCCTTCCTTAATTTTATTAATTCCACATCACCTTTCTATAGTTTCTCATGTGACATCCCCCCTTCCCCTTTCCCGGTGGGCACTGCTGGTTTGAGTACTCTCCCCTTTGTTACTGTTGTGTAGTTAGTTCATGTCGAGAAAGACTCCACCCGAAATGTCGCTTTGTTTTGTGTTGTGCAGGTTGTTCTGCTTCCCCATTTCATTAAACTGTTTTGTCAGAGTTCACTGGATTAATTTCTTGGCATTAGCTTGACTGCATTCACCCCTGTTTTCACCATTTAAAAAAAAATTCTACCTGACAAAGGCTGATGAAAGGGAAGTCATGGATGGCTCAGGCAGAAGACACAATCAGACCGGTTTGCATCTTTGAGAACATTAGGCGAGGAGAGGAGTGGGTCAAAGTGCCACCTGAACAGTCAGACTTGTGTAGGGTCATAATCACGCTGAGCCAGGAATGCAGAGACTGGCCAGCAGGTGCCACAGAGGTGGAAATTCAGCAATTATTTCAAGATAATGCTGGCTCAGAGGATTTGATCATTTACACAGACGGTTCAGTGTCAAGAAGCAAAAAGAGTATTTAGGGTTTCTAAGCAAAAGTTAATGGCTGACGTTTGGTGCAGGAGAGCCTAGCAAATAATACCACAACATCCAGCTTAAGAATGGAGTTGGAGACAATCACTGCGGCTTTCCGCTGGTTAGAGAATACGACACACACACACACACATCGTGATTGTAACTGACTCAGAAAGCATGATGAGGAAAGTCAGGACAGGCATGCTTCGTGCAGAGTGGCATGCTTCACTGCGGAGGACACAGGTGAGGGGTATTGTCTGGATCTTGTCAATGAGAACGCAGGTGTGTTGGAAAATGAACAGGTGGACAGACTGGCTGGCTCTGTACAACTTGGTCGAATACTGATGCATGAAAAGGCAGACACATGGTTAGTGCCTTATGGGAGAGCGTGTACAGTTCGAAGGAGAAAATGGATTACCAGTCTAGTGAGACTGATGCAGATGCCCAAGGTTCAGAGGAAAGGCAAGAGGGACGTTTAATCGGAATGCTACTGGCACCATTATTTCTTCTTCTTCTTCTGCGTTCGACATCAGTCAAGCTAAACACTGAGTCCCGTCTGGGTCACAAATAGGACTGTGTGTTCAAGGTCGCCACCGTCTCCCATAGCTTCTCTTGCAATGTGGCTTTTGGGCCATATCCATAGTCTTTGCAGGGAACTGGCACCATTAGTATCGGAACTCTTCACTGGCTGCTGAAGATGGGGATGGAGTGCTTACGGGTATGTCCCGAGTGCTGTGATGTCGGTTCTTGAATCAACTCAACTGAACTCATTTTACCTGACACTCATACTATGTATTTTGCTCCATGAACATAACATACTGTGTAGATTAAAATACAATTGAAATGTGAAAGATGAGCTTCTGGAGGAGACAGATATAAGACAGCTTTGCATGCCCAAGTTGCTTTCATTTATTCATAAAAAACCGACTCCATGTAATAGACAATATTTGTATTAGTATAGTGGTAGTCATCTGAAATTTGGTTGTAATGCTACTTTTCAATTTCATAAACTATTTATTGGCTGTCTACTTTATAGACAACAAAGATTAGCTAACAAAAAGTTAAAAAAAAAAAAAACCAAACAAACCAACAAACATGAATTACTGAACACTGCGGGCTACCTCTCACGGCTTGCTGATCAACAAGCATACCACAGTCAGTGTGTCACCAACCACTGTTCTAGAACAAGTACAAACAAAAATACACGAAGGTTTGAAACCATACAATGACCTTGACACTGGTTGCAGTCTCCGATATAGCCCTCTTTGCAGAGACAGGTGCCATTGATGCAAGCCATGTTTGCAATCGGACACTCAACGTTGAAACAAATGTCAGCTGAAATGTTTAAATTATAAAAAATCAGATGAAAAGGTTAAACACACACATACACACACACATACACAAATGTCCATTCATTAATTGTCTCATAATATTTCCCATAATGCAGACTGGGGGAGTGGGGGGGGGGGGGGGGGGCTACAAAAGTGACATCATCAGATACTCATAATTGATAATGCAATTATTCTAAAGACCACATATGAATGAATTTTGAGGGAAGATGCTATTTATGATAAAACATATTTAAACTCTTTTAGTCCCAGTGGGTTTAGCATCACAGGCCCAAGGGGTAGTCAAGAGAGATGTAAAATCTGCGCATCTTGCATTCATTGGGCTTCTATGAATGTATGATGAGTTCCTTGGGACTCAAAGAGTTAAGCGTGCATGAATTTGGAGATAGGTGTAGATTTGACAATAAAGAATGTATGAGAACAAATTATGAATGCACTGGAGATGATCACCCTCTACACGTGAAGACATGTGCTGCAGGAGACGCAGCGTCTCTGTGTGTGCCCAGTGTGATGATCACCATCTACACGTGAAGACATGTGCTGCAGGAGACGCAGCGTCTCTGTGTGTGCCCAGTGTGATGATCACCATCTACACGTGAAGACATGTGCTGCAGGAGACGCAGCGTCTCTGTGTATGCCCAGTGTGATGATCACCATCTACACGTGAAGACATGTGCTGCAGGAGACGCAGCGTCTCTGTGTGTGCCCAGTGTGATATGATGTTGATCCTTAGATCAGTAGTAAATCAGCAAGCAATCAGTAACTTGCTATAAAGTCAGCTGTCAAAACAGCAAGCAATCAGTGATTTGCTATGAGGTCAGCTGTCAAATCAGCAAGCAATCAGTAATTTGCTATGTTGTCATCTGTCAAATCAGCAAGCAATCAGTAATTTGCTATGTTGTCAGCTGTCAAATCAGCAAGCAATCAGTAATTTGTTATGTTGTCAGCTGTCAAATCAGCAAGCAATCAGTAATTTGTTATGTTGTCAGCTGTCAAATCAGCAAGCAATCAGTAATTTGTTATGTTGTCAGCTGTCAAATCAGTAAGCAATCAGTAATTTGTTATGTTGTCAGCTGTCAAATCAGCAAGCAATCAGTCATTTATTATGTTGTCAGTTGTCAAATCAGCAAGCAATCAGTAATTTCCCTGCAAACAGATACAGCATGACAGTTAAGATATCTCAACTGAGCTTATTAAAAAGCTCCAAGAATGGGGGATGAAAAAAAACTGCATTTAAAAATAGTTTTAACAAAAACTTTGGTCAGAATGATCAAGTATTTTTGTTCGTGTTTTCTTTCCCACTTCATTAAACTGTCTAGTCATAGTCTGTGTTTAGAGCAATGGTTCTCAACCAGCCTAATGTGGCGACCCTTTAATACAGTTCTTCATGTTGTGGCGACTCCCAACCATACACTTATTTTCATTGCTACTTCATAACTTCAATGAATATGTGCTTCTGCAAACCCTGTGAAAGGTTGGACGATCCAAAAATTGGTCGTTACCCACAGGCTGAGAAACCCTGGTTTAGAGACTTTACTTAGCACTGTTGGCTGAGAACCTATTCTCCATTGGGGGATGAAGGGTCGAAGAAGAAGAAGAAGAAACATCACAATCAACCCCTGTTTGTGTGCATTGGTGCATACATGCATGTGTGTGTGTGTGTTAGTTCCTGGGCCCATAATTTCTTAAGAATTAAAAAACAGACCCTCAGCGACCATAACAAGGCAAATAATAAGGCACTGATGAAAATTTGATGTGTTTGGCCCAAAATTGTGGGTATCACAGCTTAGCTGTTTAGGGTGTTCATAGAAGAAGACTCAACCCCTGCCAGATTTCTCTACGCTCTTTTCTTTTGTCCATATTCTTCTTTGGGCCCCCAAGTGTTGCAGGTGAAGAAATTAGCGTTATCCAAGCTAGGGGACATTATGCTGTGATGCCGAGTTTCAAGGTATCAGTGATTCCTTCAATCCATCTTCTTTTTGGTTGTCCCCTACCTCTTTTTGTTTCTCCTTTCACGTTGAACGCTCTCATCGCTGGCATCATTGGATTTGTTCTCATTAAAAGACTAAACCATTTCAGTCTTTGTTTTTCAATGAGTTAGTTATAGGTGTTGTTTCAATAGTTTTTTGTAATTTCTACGTTTCTTACATGATCTATTCTAGTTATATAAATGATCTTTCTCAAATATCTCATTTTGCAGGTAGTTTTCTTTCCTGTTCATGACCTTTCTCAATTTTCTAATTTTTGCAGGTAGTTTTTCCCTGTTAACGACCTTTATGAAACATCTCATTTTATAAGTAATTAGTTTGTTTTCCCGTTCATGACCTTTCTCAATTATCTAATTTTTGCAGTTCTTTTCCCTGTTCTTTAGTGTTCTCTACACAACAAATCTTTATTATAATATTAAATATTTATGTAACCAAGATATCACCTACGTTCACATTCATTTCTGCTGTTTTCTATGTATCCTTCCTTGCAGTAGCATCCAGTAATTCCATTCTCTGTTCTGCATTCTTCATTACTGCCACACCCCTTTGGGATTTCAGACGTTTCATTGTTGCTCACACAATGGATCTCAGAGGAGCAATCTGGGAAGACAACTTTATCTCCAACCTATGGAACAACAAACCACAATGTCATCATCTGAAGACAAAATAAACATACTCTCTGGAATTTTCTTCTTAAGGATAGTTGTGAATCCTTTACAGGACGTTGCATAACCAACCCCAATAGCCCCTGGCTGTTGTGTGGTTTTTCTAGGCAAATTTACGTCCAGTAGTTTGTCATTGCTTCCTGGATGGTCGGTTTTCTTGATACCACTGTCAAAACCAACGCAAGGCGCATGGCCCGCAGCTGTGATCGAACCTGGCATCCCAGCATTACGAAGCGTTCGCATCGACTTAGCCACAGGGCCGACTCTTAAGCATGGCCAAGTATACTGCAGAAGGCGGGGACTATTATTGTCCCATTTTTCAGCAGTAGTAACGAGCTGAATGCAGAATCTGATGACAGATTGGCTGGAACACAAAGCTGGGTTTGAAGGACTCTCTCCCAACGACTTTAGGCATATTGAGTATATAGGGCTAGACCTATACTTTACAGGCAAATCAGCACTTGGTGGGTGATATGGTCAACATAACACCGGCCACCTTTACTTCCTCTGACTTGGCCTGGCCAGGTTGAACTGAGAGCTAGGGTAATTTCTAACCACAAAAAAAAAAAAAAGTCTGGCTCTATCAGGACCTGAACTCAGGACCTTCAGACCTGCAGGATGCGTCTAGCCATAACATGACTGTGGCTCCCCCAAGGCTGGACTTACAATATGTTCATTGACTGTTCCAAGCAATGCTATCTTTTCCTGTCAACATCTGTTGTCTAGGGTTAGGGCTAGAGGGCACTGAGCTCAATTTTGTTACTACTCATGAGAGAACATTCTGCAGGCACACCAAGTTCACAGACAATTGCTGGCACTCAGATTCAGGGAGAAGCATTTAGCAGAAACATTTGGTAGTCATCACTTTGACATCTGTCTTGATTGTTACAAATGGCCAGATATTCATAGCCACTGCAGGCTACTTAGGTAGACTGAGTCTTCAGGTTTACCCACATTAGCTCATCTGTACCCATTCTCCCAGTGCCAAACACAAAATGATGTTTGGTTCTTACAACCTTCTAATCATCCAGTCAATTCACATGCATTACCTTAGCCCCACCTCTTTGCCCATAAATTAGGCTAAGTAGATGTTTACCTCAATACAGTAAAACTTGCATCAATACTTTCATAATCATACATCCTGCCAGATGGCAAAGGCATCCAGGTCTCATCGCTTATCTTGGTTCTTGGTGTTCAGGATTAGGTTTCTCTTCTTATTATTGTTTCTCTGCATTCCCTTTTAAAATGGTGGTTGATATGTTGTGTTGAGGTCTAAATTAGGTAAAGTTTGAATTCATTGTCTGGCTATAAAGTTTAGGTTGGGTAAAGACTGTTTTCATTGTCTGTCTGTGAGGTTAATGCTATTCAAAGACTTCATCTTCTTCTTCTTTTGTTCGCTTGAAATAAATTACTTATATCTGCAACATTGTCTCTAGCATGAACTTCCCTGTCTTTTGTAATTCACTCAGCGACCTGTAAAGTTTGACTTGCACCAATGTTTCTCTTGGCCAAAAGTGTTGCCTTGATCTGATGTATTTGGGACAGTCTTGGAGGACATGATCAGCTGTCTCAGGTTCCAATCCACTTGTGCACATGGCTGATTTGCTGATTTTACATTCTGTGTACAGGTGGTGGCAAAGTCAACTTTGTCCTGTTCTAAGGCATAGAATAATAACTTGCTCTGTTCTAAGGCATAGAATAATAACTTGCTCTGTTCTAAGGCATAGAATAATAACTTGCTCTGTTCTAAGGCATAGAATAATAACTTGCTCTGTTCTAAGGCATAGAATAATAACTTGCTCTGTTCTAAGGCATAGAATAATAACTTGCTCTGTTCTAAGGCATAGAATAATAACTTGCTCTGTTCTAAGGCATAGAATAATAACTTGCTCTGTTCTAAGGCATAGAATAATAACTTGCTCTGTTCTAAGGCATAGAATAATAACTTGCTCTGTTCTAAGGCATAGAATAATAACTTGCTCTGTTCTAAGGCATAGAATAATAACTTGCTCTGTTCTAAGGCATAGAATAATAACTTGCTCTGTTCTAAGGCATAGAATAATAACTTGCTCTGTTCTAAGGCATAGAATAATAACTTGCTCTGGTCTGTCCATAAAATGGTAATCGTCTTGTGCCGGTTTTGGTGGCTTTCTGATTGATTTGATTATTCTCTTCTTTTGTTGATAAGAGACTGGCAAAGACTCTTTTACATGACAGTGATATTTGTAGTAAATAAAGTTTGCAATAATGTATAGATCATATATAATAATTGTTTCTCTGTAAAATTTATGATATGTAAAGTTTCTATATACTGTTTCTCTGTAAATCTAGTATCTATTCATTTTTTGCTGATGTCGACACATCTTTACATACCTTCCTTGGACCCAGTACACTGGACTACAGTTTGCTTGGCAACTGTTTTGTGGTGCCACAATATAATTGTGCCACATGGTTATATGATTAACTCTTTGAGTCCCAAGAAATGCATCATACGTTCATCGGTTCCTACCTAGAAGCCCACTGAACGCATGATGCATTATTACGTTCTTTACTACCCCCTGGGCCTGTGATGCTAAACCCCCTGTGACTCAAAGAGTTAAACGGTGTTTCTGGGATTTTTACTCATTTAATTCTTATCCTTGAGATGTCAGTCCTACAGATTGCGCCCCTGAAGGGGAAAACATGACTAATTACATTGTACTACAACAGTCTCTACATGTCAAGCCGCACGATGGCCTGAGAGAATGGAGATGGAGGGCGCAGTTTCCAGGACACGAGGTAGAGGCTGACCTCTACGAAAGTGGATAGAGGACATTGAAGATGCATTGACTATGAAAGCACACAGGGTTGGAGAATTGGCTAGAGAAAGAGAGACTTTTAGGTGTGCCATCAAGAGAGCGATGCTCTGTACAGGACAAACAGACCGACTAATACTCTGCTGTCATCATCATCATCATCATCCTTACTTACCGCCAGGTATTTGTCGAGGTAGAGACATCCACACTTCTCCGGGCTGATACATTTATCCCCTTCCAGAATGAGGCCACCTTCGCAGAAACATCCCTCACTGCACGTGTCCGACTGGCCGATCGGCTGCTGGTTGAGTGTTAAACATGTCCGAGGATTGTAAGTGCCGCAGACTTTGTAAACAAGGTTGTTGGGACATGTAGGAACTGCCGTGGTAAAATATGTTTATTAATTGTTAAGTAAAGACAGAAAAATAAACATTTATATTGTTATTTTAACTCTTTGAGTTGGGATGAAACCAGGGCTTATCTACATCAAGAGACAATAGATAAAATGGTTTCGACGTCAATACTACCACAAGACATTGCACCACAGACAGCCCTGTCACTTAGACATAATGAAAGCAGATTAGTTAGTTATTTGGGTTATCATCATTGCACTCCGGACATGTCTACAGGTGCTCAGATTCTCAATTTAGTATGAACCCCAGCGTCCGGTGGCTAACAGGACCAGTTCTATGTTGATTAACAAGTTCTCTTGTGTGCCTGGTGTGCGTCTCGTTTTTTTGCTATGCTGATATTAACTCCCAAATCTATCATTCTAGCGAGTGATAGGGATTCACCGCCCCCAAAAGTCCTCCTCCCTTCCAATTTCTCAGAGGGCATTATTAATATCAGCATGATCCATAGGCTGACCGTCGGTAGCGGATCCAGCCAATATATCAAGTCTTTTATTCCCATCGATGCTCGTTATCCTGGAATGAAAATGAAAGTGACTCCATGCAGAGTGGACTTCTGTAATGACTCAAGCCATTGCTTTTGCACTCAACCCGCCTGAACGTTCCAGATCATACTCATTATGAGCTAAAGTTTAATCACGCAAACGATTGATGGACAGAATATCCTAGGCCATAAATACCAGCATCTTTACAATACACAGCAAGGCTCGCGACAGAGGCCTCTTCAGAACCTGCTATGACTCTAAAGTCTTTTGTGGGAGTGGCAGTCTCTGCCCCACAGATTATTAAAAAATGTTGATACTCTATTATACCGAAGCTGATTTTGTCTCTCCTCTAAAAAAGCACATCATGTTTGGCCTCTTGCAAAGTGCAACAGTTCATCTTTTACTGTCTGCCTCCAAAGAAGTCAGTCAACAGCCATTCTCTCCCAAGTGTCTGTGTCAACCTGGTGTCTTTCAGGACATGTTTGCATTTGGACTTCCTGTAGATTTTATCCTTGTTTCCAGTTCGCCCTACTGGAGATCCTTTGGAAAGTGAGTGTCCTTCATGTGAGAGACATGACCAATCAGTGCAGGTGTCTTTGCTTTAGTAGAAAGTAAATTGCTGGCATTTCTGCTTTTTTTAGGCATTCGTTGGGGACAAAGTCTGGCCATGATATACCAAACATAACATCCCTGAGGCATCTTACTTGCATCTTAGTCCTTGCATGAAGCCTGAACAGACTGAAAATACAATGTAAGGAGATATATCTCTTTGATGGCTGTCCTAAATGCACGGCAAAGCAATCTGGTAAAACAATTGGAGCTAAAACGCAGTCCTGCTTGACTCCATTATGAATTTAGAAGGGTGAAGATGACGAATCCACATACATGATTGTTTGTTTCCTATATTTTTCAAATTAGCTATCTGGGCCCTAGTAACATATCATTAGTTAAAAAAAAATAGCACAAAGAAGTAAAATCCCTAAAAATAAGTTAAAAATAATTTCGACATAAAGGTATAACTCATAAAAGAGGATCACCAGTGCAAGCGTCAACACGGGACTTCCAGCCCTTGACATCAGCCTGCTCATTGTCAGAGCAGTCCCAGGCCAAGGTCTCAGCAAACCTGCAGATTGCCTCATCAAGGTCGTCATCGTGACACAGGTCATAGACGCACGAGTCCAGGAACTCTCCCAGGTCGGCTGCATTCTTCAGCTTCAGACAGTCCTGCAGAGATAAATTTCTGTCTATCAGTGATCACATTCACCCTGTATGAGACTGAAGCGCTACCTACTGCCTCAAGTGCTAGAGGTTGCAGGTTCAACCTCCGGTAAGAGCTGGGATTATTTCACGTGGACTTGAAATTCTAGTAAATCTCCCAGGTCTCTGGGTAGTGAGATGGGACGTCCGTGTGCAATGCTGCACTCGTAAAAAATCCCTTGGCAGTTGGAAATCGAAAACAGTAGCCTAACAGGGCTGCCCAGGCAAAATTTGGAGTTAAAAATCTACTCAAAGTATTCCAGGATTCTCGCCGGTGCTACAGAGCCTGTGCACTGTGCTGAGCTGCTTCGGACTCAGACTCAAGCTAGAAGACGAACGGAGCACTTATGTGCCATGATGTTGATCCGTTGCTCAAACTTTAAACTTCATTCACCCTGTTTGGGTTTGGGTGTTTTGAAAGGGGACAAGAACAGACTCACTGCCTCTTAATAAGCAGTTTGTAAAAGGCGACTAATTTGTGGTTTGCTTAAATCTCATGTGGTGGGCCAAAAGACACAAATACTGCAGCTTAGCTGTAAACTACAACAACTGCCATTTAACTCTTTTTTTACAATTAACACCTAAAGAGGGGGCCATAATCCTATCTGAATTCTGTTTTTTTTACATTGGTTACTAATAAATTTCTTAATAATTTGTTTATCCACATTTTTGAAATTGTTTCTGCTAAAATATATAAAGATATATGAAGGGAGTAATCAATAAACATGAACAGGAAAAGCATTCATCAGAATACATTAATCGGGTCCTGAAAAAAACATATATTTTGGGTAACTAATGCTGTGAACTTATCACCTCTATCACTGAGGCTACTGACAAATTTGACAACTCAGCTTGATATTTGACTCAAAGGACCCCCAGCAACCCATGCTATTTTTATTTTGTTAGTTCATGCAGTCATACTTGACCTCCAAACATTTATGCTGTTTTGAAAAGAGTAAATCACTACTATGTGTCTGGTAAACAGGCCGCAACTGACAAGTCGCAAAAGTGACATTTATGGGGAACTGAAAGCAATTGGAAGCGCCGGTTTTGTGGCTTCTCTGGGTGAAAGGCAAATGCAGAAAATGAAAAAGATTAATGATAACAGAACAGTAATGATATCAGAACAAATTTTTGGCCAACACTATGCTATCAGTGCCAGACGTGAACACTTACATCCGCCAATGAACGTAAAATTGTGACCACAGAGATTAAATGCCTTAGAAGAGTTTCAGGAGTTTCAAGGAAAGACAGAATAGGAAATCATGAAATCAGATGAATGCTACGAATAAAGCCAGTCTTACAAGTCATCAAAGAACAATAAATGTGGACACCAAACAAGAATGCCCTGGTACTATCTGCCACATCGAGCCACATAAAAATGTTACAACGGGTATAGAGTGAGTGGAAGGCCTTGGAAAATATGGAGTGATGGCCTTAGGAATAGCCTTACAGAAATGAACATCAGTCTTAATAGTGCTCTTGACAGAGCTCATCAACGAATGTTACATCTCCCCCCGACACTTTGATGAGGTACAAGGTGGACGAGGAGAGGAAGAAGTAGTGAAGACAGTCTTACATCAAGTACTACTAACCCGATTTCATGCAGCTGGGTTTTGCTTATGGTCACAACAGTTCATTAACTGACCGTTCATTCTTATGGCACATCATATAAGTCCATAAAAGCTTTGATTCCATATCCAGTATTTCTCTCAGAGTGTGGCGACCGACAATACCAATTCTATGTGTTGGTTTACTATTTTTCTTTGACTACCTGCATAGTATTAATGTCTGGCAATATCTCTTGTGACTTGAAGTTCTTGTAGTCCTGTCAAGGTTGCTGATTCACTGCCATCTCATGAATCATTTACTTGTCCTGCCTCCTTGAAGGTGTTGAAAACACTGGTTCAGTCATTGCTTTTCTTGTGCTTACAGTGGCCCTGCCAGCAAGCTAATCCACTCATTCATTCCCCCTTATACCGTCACATTTCTTTCCAGGAAGTTGTAGAAGCATACCAGTGGGGCGCTTGCTTGCCCACTCAGTGGTCAATGGTTTGAATCTTCACTGAGGTAAGGACCCTTTTCCATCCCCACAGGTGTATTGGGCATTTAAAAAAAGGTTCCCTGAGTGCTAGACCTATATTTTATAGACCAACATCATGACAACCATTCAGCCCTCGGTGGCTGATGTGATCAACATCATGACAACCATTCGGCACTCGGTGGCTTATGTAATCAACATCATGACAACCATTCATCACTCGGTGGCTGATGTAATCAACATCATGACAACCATTCATCACTCGGTGGCTGATGTAATCAACATCATGACAACCATTCATCACTCGGTGGCTGATGTGATCAACATCATGACAACCATTCAGCACTCGGTGGCTGATGTAGTCAACATCATGACAACCATTCAACACTCGGTGGCTGATGTAGTCAACATCATGACAACCATTCAGCACTCGGTGGCTGATGTAGTCAACATCATGACAACCATTCAGCACTTGGTAGCTGATGTAGTCAACATCATGACAACCATTCAACACTCGGTGGCTGATGTGATCAACATCATGACAACCATTCAGCACTCAGTGGCTGATGTGAACAACATCATGACAACCATTCAGCACTCGGTGGCTGATGTGATCAACATCATGACAACCATTCAGCACTCGGTGGCTGATGTGAACAACATCATGACAACCATTCAGCACTCGGTGGCTGATGTGATCAACATCATGACAACCATTCAGCACTCGGTGGCTGATGTGAACAACATCATGACAACCATTCAGCACTCGGTGGCTGATGTAGTCAACATCATGACAACCATTTAGCACTCGGTGGCTGATGTGAACAACATCATGACAACCATTCAGCACTCGGTGGCTGATGTAGTCAACATCATGACAACCATTCAGCACTCGGTGGCTGATGTGAACAACATCATGACAACCATTCGGCACTCAGTGGCTGATGTGTACAACATCATGACAACCATTCAGCACTCAGTGGCTGATGTGTACAACATCATGACAACCATTCAGCACTCAGTGGCTGATGTAGTCAACATCATGACAACCATTCAGCACTCGGTGGCTGATGTAGTCAACATCATGACAACCATTCAGCACTCGGTGGCTGATGTGAACAACATCATGACAACCATTCAGCACTCAGTGGCTGATGTGTACAACATCATGACAACCATTTAGCACTCGGTGGCTGATGTGAACAACATCATGACAACCATTCAGCACTCGGTGGCTGATGTAGTCAACATCATGACAACCATTCAGCACTCGGTGGCTAATGTAGTCAACATCATGACAACCATTCAGCACTCGGTGGCTGATGTAGTCAACATCATGACAACCATTCAGCACTCGGTGGCTGATGTAGTCAACATCATGGCAACCATTCAGCACTCGGTGGCAGATGTAGTCAACATCATGACAACCATTCAGCACTCGGTGGCTGATGTAGTCAACATCATGACAACCATTCAGCACTCGGTGGCTGATGTAGTCAACATCATGACAACCATTCAGCACTCGGTGGCTGATGTAGTCACATCATGACAACCATTCAACACTCGGTGGCTGATGTGATTAACATCATGACAACCATTCAGCACTCGGTGGCTGATGTAGTCACATCATGACAACCATTCAGCACTCGGTGGCTGATGTGATCAACATCATGACAACCATTCAGCACTCGGTGGCTGATGTGATTAACATCATGACAACCATTCAGCACTCGGTGGCTGATGTAGTCAACATCATGACAACCATTCAGCACTCGGTGGCTGATGTGAACAACATCTTGACAACCATTCAGCCCTCGGTGGCTGATGTAGTCAACATCATGACAGCTGCATATACTTCCCAGGATTTTACCTGCTACCCATTTTAGGCTGGGTCAACCTGAGAGTCAAGGTAATTTAAAAAAAAAAAAACCGGCTCGATGAGGATATGAACCTGAGATCTTTGGGACCAAAGTGAGTATCTAGCAACTACAATACAGTAGCTCCCTCATTGAAAAAAAAAAAAGGTAAAGATTAAACAAATTGACTAGTGCTCCCAGGCTGACCCTGCCAAAAACTGGTAACAGAAAATGTCCTGAAAAGTAAAGGTGGCTAGCATTATACCAGTCAGATTGCCAATTAAGTAATGACTAATCATCATCATCATCATGTACATTGCTGATAAGTGTAAAAAGTGATGTTTCACCATTTGACACGATCTCCAAAATCATGGATCAGAACAGTGCTCTTATCTTGCACCTATCCACCTGGCCACATTGATTTGTGCACAAAAAATAAAAGGCATACTTATGGAAAAGTTTGTGAAAGAGAGACAGCGATACAAGTAAAGAAAGACAGAGAGATAGACAAAAAGTTATAGTCAGATATAAAGAGAGAGACAGAGAAAGCAAAAACAGTAGAGAGACATAGAGAAATAATAGAAAAGGAGATAGAAACAAACACACGCACACACACACAGAGAAAGAGAGAGAGAGAGAGAGAGATAAAGAGAGAGATAGAGAGAGAGAGAGAGAGAAAGTGTGCGATCTTCAGTAGAATATACCAGTTTATGTGCTGACACCCCTTTATGTGATAATAAAAGGCTGAATGTTAAATTAAAAATCATCACAGCACTCTGGACACTCCATAAGTGCTCAGTCCCCATCTTCAGCAGCAAACGAAGAGTTCCAGTTCCAATGGTACCAGTAACTGTCTGATTGTATATCTGCCTCATCCTTCCCCTGAGTGTTGAGCATCAGCCAAATCCCCTGGTAACTCCTCGCAGAGACATTATCCTTAGACTGTAATGATCTATCTGCACCTCCGCACTGTTCACTCACTCCCAAAGGGCCCTCACAATATTTGACTTGTCATACATCAATTCACCACCACGTTGTGCAGAGCCAGCTAGTCTATCTGCCTGCCCATTTCCCAACACACGGGCATGATCTGGAAAAAAATATCCAAAGGATGCTATAACAAAAGGCTATCAAGAACTGTCTCACAATGCCTTCCTCTGTCTCTTTTCCCTCCAGATCTTTTCAATAATCAAATTTTATTCCAGTCATATTCTTCTCGCAACATGACAAAAAAAAAAAAAAAAAAAAAACTACGACTGTCTTCCTTCAGTATTTGTGGTAAGTTGTCTTTTTTGGCTGTCCAGAAAATTCTAAGGATTCTTCTGTAAAAAAAAAAAGAAAAAACCCCCCCCACATCTTCAAGGCCTCAAGAAATTGTCTGGCCTGTTTATTAATTGTCCAGTATTCACAGCCAAATGTTAACAGATATATTCTATACAATTTAAAAATTAGTTGTGCAATCTTCACAGATTCTTCACTTAGAATGGATAAGTCAAGACTCCCCAATCAAGCCCTTATTCGAAGACTGGAAGGGAAAAGAAAACAGGGAGGACCATCATCAGGGAAGGCTCAACCATGGGTCCAGTAAACACTCAAGACTTAAAACAGGTAGCAATGAGGTGCCAGACACGGAGAGCTATGACCTCTGCCCTATGTTGCCGCCCTAGGCCCAAGAGGAAAGATTAATTATCCTTTACAGGACATTACATAACAAACCTCAACATATGTTGGCTGTGTTGGTTTTACTAGGTAAATTTGGGTTCAGTAGTTTGTCACAGGTTACTCAACGACCGACTCTTGATACCTCTGCAAAATCAATGCAAGGGTCTGCTGCCAAATCACCTGCAGCTGGAATTGAACTGAGTACCTCAGAATTATGAAGCACGTTCACAATGCTTATGCCATATAACTGACCTTGAAAGGGGAAGACTGAGCATCAAACAACTTGTTGCATTCTCTCTCAATGATGGCCTTGGGGTGGAAGCAGGAGTCATCAGATGAGGTCGGCTGGTCAGGGTGGCAGTTGGCCTTGCAGTTGGTGTCCCCAACAATCCAGGACTGGGCAAACAAGCGCTCATTCTCTGTCTGCAGGTGGGTCACAGAAATCATTCAGTCATTAACTAGGCTCATTCTCTGTCTGCAGGTGGGTCACAGAAATCATTCAGTCATTAACAAGCGCTCATTCTCTGTCTGCAGGTGGGTCACAGAAATCATTCAGTCATTAACTAGGCTCATTCTCTGTCTGCAGGTGGGTCACAGAAATCCTTCATTAACTAGGCTCATTCTCTGTCTGCAGGTGGGTCACAGAAATCATTCAGTCATTAACTAGGCTCATTCTCTGTCTGCAGGTGGGTCACAGAAATCATTCAGTCATTAACTAGGCTCATTCTCTGTCTGCAGGTGGGTCACAGAAATCATTCAGTCATTAACTAGGCTCATTCTCTGTCTGCAGGTGAGTCACAGAAATCATTCAGTCATTAACTAGGCTCATTCTCTGTCTGCAGGTGGGTCACAGAAATCATTCAGTCATTAACTAGGCTCATTCTCTGTCTGCAGGTGGGTCACAGAAATCATTCAGTCATTAACTAGGCTCATTCTCTGTCTGCAGGTGGGTCACAGAAATCATTCAGTCATTAACTAGGCTCATTCTCTGTCTGCAGGTGAGTCACAGAGATCATTCAGTCATTAACTAGGCTCATTCTCTGTCTGCAGGTGGGTCACAGAAATCATTCAGTCATTAACTAGGCTCATTCTCTGTCTGCAGGTGGGTCACATAAATCTTTCAGTCATTAACTAGAATATTCACTGATTCTGCAGGTGGGTCACAGAAATCATTCAGTCATTAACTAAAATATTCACTGATTCTGCAGGTGGGTCACAGAAATCATTCAATAGTTAACTAAAATATTCACTGATTCTGCAGGTGGGTCACAAAAATCATTCAATAACTAGTTTATTCACTGATTCTGCAGGTGGGTCACAGAAATCATTCAAACAATAACTAGAATATTCACTGATTCTGCAGGTGGGTCACAGAAATCATTCAAACAATAACTAGAATATTCACTGATTCTGCAGGTGGGTCACATAAATCATTCAATCAATAACTAGAATATTCACTGATTCTGCAGGTGGGTCACAGAAATAATTCAATCATTAACTAAAATATTCACTGATTTTGCAGGTGGGTCACAGAAATCATTCAATCATTAACTATAATATTCACTGATTCTGCAGGTGGGTCACAAAAATCATTCAATAACTAGAATATTCACTGATTCTGCAGGTTGGTCACAGAAATCATTAACTAGTTTATTCACTGATTCTGCAGGTGGGTCACAGAAATCATTCAATCAATAACTAGAATATTCACTGATTCTGCAGGTGGGTCACAGAAATAATTCAATCATTAACTAGAATATTCACTGATTCTGCAGTTTAGTCATATAAATCATTCAATCATCAACTAGAATATTCACTGATTCTGCAGGTGGGTCAAAGATATCCTTCAATCATTAACTAGAATATTCACTGATTCTGCAGTTTAGTCATATAAATCATTCAATCATCAACTAGAATATTCACTGATTCTGCAGGTGGGTCAAAGAAATTTTTCAATCAATAACTAGAATATTTACTGATTCTGCAGGTGGGTCACAGAAATCATTCAATCATTAACTAGAATATTCACTGATTCTGCAGGTTGGTCATATAAATCATTCAATCATTAACTAGAATATTCACTGATTCTGCAGGTTGGTCACATAAATGATTCAATCATTAACTAGAATATTCACTGATTCTGCAGGTGTGTCACAGAAATTATTCATTCATTAACTAGAATATTCACTGATTCTGCAGGTGGGTCACAGCAATTATTCAATCATTAACTAGAATATTCACTGATTCTGCAGGTTGGTCATATAAAAAATTCAATAATTAACTAGAATATTCACTGATTCTGCAGGTTGGTCATATAAATCATTCAATCAATAATCATTCAAACATTACCTAGAATATTCACTGATTTTGCAGGTGGGTCACAGAAATTATTCAATCATTAACTAGAACATTCACTGATTCTACAGGTGGGTCACAGAAATCATTCAATCATTAACTAGAATATTCACTGATTCTGCAGTTGGGTCACATAAATTATTCAATCATTACCTAGAATATTCACTGATTCTGCAGGTGGGTCATATAAATCATTCAATCATTAACTAGAATATTCACTGATTCTGCAGGTTGATCACAGAAATCATTCAATAATTAACTAGAATATTCACTGATTCTGCAGGTTGGTTACATAAATCATTAACTATAATATTCACTGATTCTGCAGGTTGGTCATATAAATCATTCAATCATTAACTAGAATATTTACCGATTCTGAAGGTTGGTCATATAAATCATTTAATCATTAACTAGAATATTTACTGATTCTGCAAGTTAGTCACAGAAACCATTCAATCATTAACTAGAATATTCACTGATTCTGCAGGTTGGTCATATAAAAAATTCAGTCATTAACTAGAATATTCACTGATTCTGCAGGTTAGTCACAGAAATCATTCAATAATTAACTAGAATATTCACTGATTCTGGAGGTTGGTCATATAAATCACTCAGTCATTACCTAGAATATTCACTGATTCGGCAGGTCCATCACAGAAATCATTAACTAGAATATTCACTGATTCTGCAGGTTGGTCATATAAAAAATTCAATAATTAATTAGAATTTTCACTGATTCTGCAGGTTGGTCATATAAATCATTCAATCATTAACTAGAATATTCACTGATTCTGCAGGTTGGTCACATAAATCATTCAATAATTAACTAGAATATTCACTGATTCTGCAGGTTGGTCACATAAATCATTCAATAATTAACTAGAATATTCACTGATTCTGCAGGTTGGTCACATAAATCATTCAATAATTAACTAGAATATTCACTGATTCTGCAGGTTGGTCATATAAATCATTCAATCGTTAACTAGAATATTCACTGATTTTGCAGGTTGGTCATATAAATCACTCAGTCATTACCTAGAATATTCACTGATTCGGCAGGTCCATCACAGAAATCATTAACTAGAATATTCACTGATTCTGCAGGTTGGTCATATAAATCATTCAAGCATTAACTAGAATATTCACTGATTCTGGAGGTTGGTCACATAAAGCATTCAATCATTAACTAGAATATTCACTGAATCTGCAGGTTGGTCATATAAATCACTCAGTCATAAACTAGAATATTCACTGATTCTGCAGGTCCGTCACAGAAATTATTAACTAGAATATCCACTGATTCTGCAGGTTGCTCATATAAATCTTTCAATCAATAACTAGAATATTCACAGATTGTACAGGCTGGTTAGAAAAAAAAAGAAATCCTTAGCCAAAATGTTAAATAATTCTCTGTCTGCAGGCCAGTCATATTAATCTTTTTTCTGGTCCTGTTCTGCGTTTCAGCATTGGGTTTCAAAGAGGTATCTGAAGCAAGCCTTAGTGTTTGTGTGCTAGATATTCACTGTCTCTGATCTCCCATCTATCCATCACTTGCCTGGGCAACCCCTAGCTCTGCTTACGTGGTGTCTAAGTGACAGGGCTCTCTGTAGTGCCCTATTTTGTGACACACGGCTGGAGCAGTAGAAATCATCAGGTAAAATATTAACTGATTCTCTGTCTGGAGACTGGTCAAAAAACTTAACTAACCAGAATTTTGAAGACAAAATTTTGCCCCAATGTGAATCTGAACCCTATATCTTTTGGGTGGTGAATGAGCATCTAACCACTACACCATCTCTGTTTCCAGAACAAAGGCACATACTGGATACTGTAGACACACTGGGCATTAATATTCATGAGACTCCTAACTACTAAGGGACTGAGTCCACTTCTGGTGGCAATGACGAGAGCAAAACATCTGCTATATAACAGCGATCCTCAAAACTTGTTGATCCAGTCATTATCCCTGTATGGGTTCCAGGGTTCTACTGTGGGAAAAAAACACACAAGAATAAACACATTGCCTCCCTACCCAATAAGCATTTTATAATAAGAGTCGATAACAGGGGGCTTCCTTTCAAGTCAGTGTGTATGTACCTGAGAGGCAAACAACTAACAGTCTGCAAACAAATAACTCTGATCTGTAAATTGGATGTGCACGCAACACTCAGGTTCTGGAACAAACACCCAAAACTTTCCACAAGAGTTTACAGGTGGTGAATGCAAAGCAGAAGAAAAATATCTAGAAAAAAAAAAATTGAAAGAAGAACAAGAAAGCATTCTACCTGCTGGGCTGCCACAGCAGGAAATATAGGACATTGAAATTATAAAACATTCTAATGAAGAACATTAAAGATACTACCTGCCAGGACATGCAGGACCTTGCAAAAATATAATATATAATAAAGAAAAAGACGAAAGTATCCTACCACTAGCCAGCTATGGCAAGCCGTGCAGGACATTTTAATACAAAAGAACATGAAAGTATCCTACCACTAGCCAGCTATGGCAAGCCGTGTAGGACATTTTAATACAAAGAACATGAAAGTATCCTACATCCGACTGGCCAGCTAAAGCAGGACACGCAGGGCCTTGTAATCTGGAGAAGATCAAGTATCATTCTATTTGCCAGATGGGGCAGGCAAGGCAGGACCTTGTAACATGAAGAAGATGAGAGTATCCAACCACTTGCCAGCTGGGCCAGGCAGAACCTTGGTCGATGAAGAAGAAGAGAGTATCCTACCACTTGCCAGCTGGGCCAGGCAGAACCTTGTAACATGAAAAAGATGAAAGTATCCTGCACTGGCAATTCATGGCCAGACATGCGGCACCCTTTAGTAATAATAAAACATACCCTTTAGTAATAATAAAACATACCATAGAAGAACTTGAAAGTATCCTAAACGCCACTGATCAGGACAAGCAGAACCTTGTAACGCCACTGATCAGGACAAGCAGAACCTTGTAACGCCACTGATCAGGACAAGCAGAACCTTGTAACGCCACTGATCAGGACAAGCAGAACCTTGTAACGCCACAGATCAGGACAAGCAGAACCTTGTAACGCCACAGATCAGGACAAGCAGAACCTTGTAACGCCACTGATCAGGACAAGCAGAACCTTGTAACGCCACTGATCAGGACAAGCAGAACCTTGTAACGCCACTGATCAGGACAAGCAGAACCTTGTAACGCCACAGATCAGGACAAGCAGAACCTTGTAACGCCACAGATCAGGACAAGCAGAACCTTGTAACGCCACAGATCAGGACAAGCAGAACCTTGTTAACAGAAGAAGATTACAGTGTCCTATACTGGCCAACAGGACACGCAACACCTAGTAAAATAATAAATGATACTAAAGAAGAATTTGAAAGTATCCTACCAGCTGGCCAGCCGTGGCAGGACATGCAGGACCTTGTACTGTATCATCAGCAGGGTTACCGTTGTAGTTGCCACACAGGCCACAAACATTGTCCTTGGCATTCTTGGGGACTGTAATCTCCACGACATCCGCCCCATCCCATAGCACCACTAACTCGAACACTGTCTTCAGTTGCTGGTAAACAAAGTATTTACTGAATCAGGAAATATCTTTTATTAGGGAAACAATACACTTGTATGCTTCTTCTTAAGTACCTAAGCTCAAAGCTGAATTAAAAAAAAAAACACTCCTTATTTCACAACGGTTAACAAACAAACAAAACAAAACAACACAGTTATAATCCTGAAAGTAAAATGAGCAAGGGGAAAAAAAAATAAGTGAGGATTCAGGACAAATTTGGGAACCAGGAAAAAGGTGAACAAAATAAATGTTTGACAATCAAGTCATCCGATTAAGAAAGTATTGGAAAAACTTGACAAACATACTCAGGAGATGCTATTTCTACCTTTATTTTTCTATTTAACAGCCACACACCATGCATACACACACTGCAGAAGGAACACTATTTATTTTAGAGCAGTTTGTAATTTAATTAAGTAGTATTCTCGTCCCCATGTAGGATGCAATTTTTTTTATTTGAAGCCCCACCCTGGCTTCTGCCAGGGGCCCTGAATATAGCCGGGGCCAAGATATAGCCTAGCCATAGATATGGCCTAACTGCTGAAAGGAGTTTCTGGGACCATTCCACGGGTGATCCTCATCTGCATGGTGGTACTTTGTGTCACCTGGTGTTTATCGCTTGTGTGATGTCCTAGTGGGGTACAACTATCTACCTACCTAATTAAGTAGTGCATATAAGGGTGTTCCCATATGGGACCCAATTTTTTGGTGGCGCTTTGTGTCATTGGGTGTTTATCGCTCTGTATGATGTCCTGGTGGGGTTAGATTTACTTATTTCCTCAACTAAGTAGTATATAGTAACCCACCCCAATTTTTAGGATGCAATTTTTGTTGTTGCTTTAAAATCTCACTCCGGCTCTTGTCAGAGGCCCTAAAAATAGCCTAATGCTAGAACAAGGTTTCTGGGACTTGCCCCTGGATGTTTCTCATCCAAATGTTAGTATTTTTTGTCACCGGGTGTTTATCGCTCATCGTGCGGTCCTGATGGCATTGAACATCAGTCAGTCATTCATTAAGTAATATTTGCTTCCAGGTTTGCTGGGCAGCTCTCATTACCATTGCTGAAACCAACACAAGGCAGTCTGCTGACAAATCTCCTGCAGTGGGATCAAACCTGACACCTCGTATTTACAAAATCCATTCGCAACGCCCAAGATACAGACGTTAACAGAAAACCAAACAGAGAGATGAAAATCATTTAAATAAAACACATACTCATGCAAACATGCACGCACACACAGACATTCACACACACGCCAAATAAAGACCAATAAGGGTGATTAAAATCATTTAACCAACACACCCGCTCTACAGTCAACTTCAAAAAGACACCTGGCCTCAAGAGCAAAGTGTGCAGAGCAAGCTATGGGGAACCATGCAGGACCTGCTACTAACATGCGAGTTCATAGAGGCAAACTACTTGATGGTCTGATCTGACAAATATGAAACCAAACACAAAGAAGAAGAAGAAGAAGAAGAAGAAGAAGAAAAAGAAGAAGAAGAAGAAAAAAAGAAGAAGAAGAAGAAGAAGAAGAAGAAGAAGAAGAAGAAGAAGAAGAAGAAGAAGAAGAAGAAGAAGAAGAAGAAGAAGAAGAAGAAGAAGAAGAAGAAGAAGAAGAAGAAGAAGAAGATTTAGGGATGCAAAATAAAAATATCAACAGTCAATAAAAAAACAGTCACACAAATGAAGAAAAACAACAGAAGTGACTCACAATCTTATTGTTGACAACTATGATGCTGAATCGATGACCATCATAAAACTGCCGGACTAGCTGGCCATCCACAATGATCTTGCCACCTTGCTGTAGTCGGATCACTTTATCAAAAATGTGAACCGTCAAAGATTTCACATAGGCGTACTGGCCAGGTCTCGAACCATTTCTCTGCCAGGTCTCGATCTCTACCCTGGGCAAGGAAAGATCACTCTGTTACACTCAACAAGAATTATGTCCCACTAATAGACCCACTGTCTAGTGTGTCCTTTTGTCTTTAAGCTTCTTTCTATGAATGCTAATCAATACATTGTCTGTTTGTTTATAATATAACTGCAGACATCCTGGAAAGGTCAAAACAGTTCATGGTTATTCTGATATTTTTAAACTGTTGTAAGTGCAAGAATCTGCAAGAATCAGTGTAATTACATGATCACTGTCAAACTAACAAACCTGAATGTCTGCGCTTGTCCTGGCTGGCACCCATCCTGAGACATAACAAAATTGCAAACGTCCTGGTTATGTAGCCACAGGTTATCGTAACCTCTGCAGTGAGGGTCACCGAAGCACACACACTGACCAATTGCTGATGAAGAGACAGATCAAAAACAGATCGTTAATATCTGGCTGGATGATTCTTTTTATTATTTCTCCATCTTATTTTATTTGTTTTGATTTTATCCATTTGCTTCTTAGTTTCTTTTGATTGTCTTTTCCTTGTTAACTTTTTTCTTCTAATTTTCATTTGTTTCTGCCCATTATTCTCTCTGTTATCCCTCTTATCCTTGTCATGAAACCAGTATAACACCATTTTGGTTTTGGGCTTTTAGATTTTCTGTTCCCCCTTGCTAATCAACGACGCTGTATTTGGTATAACCCAGGGTGAAAGATGCTATAACCAGCCCTACTACTATCATGTTGAGTTCTTGGAAATGAAACAACTGATGAACTAGCAAAGGAAGGGGCAAATGAAGAACAACCTGACGTAACAGTATCTTATCGACAGAAAAAGAGAACAATCAAATCAATCAGAAAGCAATCAAAACCTGGCACAAGATGATTATCATATTATGGACATACCAGAGCAAGTCATTATTCTATGCCTTAGAACAAAACACAATCGATTGCAGCCACATGTATACAAAATTTAAGATTGGCGGATCAGCCACATGTACATGTGGATTGGCATCTAAGACAACAGATCATGTCCACCAAGACTGTCCCAAATGATTTGATTGATCTGATTTGATTCAAGAACCGACAACACAGCACTCGGGGCATTACCATAAGCGCTCTGTCGCCATCTTCAGCAGCCAGCAAAGAGCTCCGATACTAATGGTGCTAGTAGCACTCTGATTAAACGTCCGTCTTGCCTTTCCTCTGAGCCTCAAGCATCTGCCAAAACCTCTTGTCACCCTCAACTGCATCAATCTCATCACATTGTGGTGATCCATCTGCTCCTCCGAACTGTACACGCTCTCCCACAAGGCACTAACCACGTCTGCCTTATCATGTATCAGTATTCCACCAAGTTGTGCAGAGCCAGCCAGTCTGTCCACCTGTTCATTTCACAACACACCGGCGTTACCCGGTGAAAAAATCCAGACAATACTCCTCACCCATGTCCTCCGCAGCAAAGCATGTCACTCTGCACAAAGCATACCTGTTCTGATCTTCCTCAGCATGTCCCAAATACAACATACCAAGGCAAAACCTTTGGCCAGGAGAAACATTGGTGCAAATCAAACTTTACAAGTTGTTGAGAGAATTACAACAGACAGTGAAGTTCATACTAGATGCAACATTGCAGTTATAGATAACCTGCTTCAAGAGAGAGCGAAAGAAGATGAAGAAACTATAATTACTATACAACAGCCACACCAATGAATTTTTCAATTATAAGTACTCAACTCAACTCACAGCCAACAACATCTTCAACTACCGCAACTATCTGTTTCATATTCATGCAAGGGTATGCATGTGTGCAAGGAAATGAGCAAGTTGATAGGCTAGCAGGTATGGTTAGTGTGGAGGGCGCATGAGCCATGGACCAAGCTGATATACTGAATGCTCTATGAGAAGTAGAGCACTTGTAAAAAACACAAGTGATGACTGCGAATCTGCAACCATGATCAGACTGCAAGAACAGCATGTTAAAAAAGGTGTGGCCAGACAAGAGCACTATGCGGGAGCCAAAGAGGGATAAGAAACTAACATAGGACTGGTGTCGTCAGCCACTACACCTGCATGATTTACTAAGAGGGGAATCTGTGCACTTATGGACTGAATGGTTTGATGTGCAATGAGGGTAGTTTGTCGACTAACTAATTAACAAATCACAACTATACCAAAATACTGGTACAATTATCACAACCATTTATGTTACCACTACAACAAGTCAGCACAACCAGTCAGAGAGATATGTGTGTGTGCGCCTGCATGTGTGTGTGTGTGTGTGTGCATACATGAATGCATGCATGTGTGTGGGCAAGGGGCATGAACATTATACCCACAGACTCTTATCTAAGTGTGCAATAAGAAACACATATATACACATAAATTTGCTAAAAAGACACTCACGGATACAAGTGCGCCCATCTCCTCTGAAACCACGGTTACAGGCACATCTGTAAGATCCATCCAGATTTTCACAGCGGGCATTTGGGTCACAGGTATTGAGCGTTGAGTTCAAACACTCGTTAATGTCTGGAAGAACAAAGTGCTGTAGAGTATATTCTATGAAGTTGGCAGTCACAGTTAAGGAAGTGTTACAATGAAAGCAGTGGTATAATGAAAGCAGTGTTATAATGAATAAAACTGACATAGTCATAATGAAAGTAGTTTTAAAATTAATGAAATGTTACAATTAATAAAACTGGCATAGCTGCAGCGAATGAAGTGCTACACTGAATTAAGTGTTACAATGCATAAAAATGGTACAGTCATGATAAATGAAGTGTTATAATGAATGAAATGTCACCTGTCACAATGCATGAAGTGTTAAAATACATGAAGTGTCATAATGAATGAAGTGTTACAATGCATAAAAATGGTACAGTCATAATGAATGAACTGTTACACTGAATAAAGTGTCACCTGTCACAATGCATGAAGAGTCACAATGCATGAAATATTACAATACATGAAGTGTCACAATAAATGAAACTGTCACAATGAATGAAGTGCCACATTGAATAAGTGTTACAATGGATGGATGAAGTGTTGCGATGAAGAAAGTGTTCCTTGGGACTGAAAGATTTTAGGAACATCAGAGATCTATAATGATCGTACTTTGTGTGATGCTTCAGGAGAGTGCTGGCTCATCTGCAAAGAGAGATTGAGCCAGAAGGGAGAAAAATCAATGCAAAGAATCTATCCTCTCGACTTTAAGCCTCTCTTTTTACTATAAAATGATGGGAAATGTATTACAAATTTAAATGTTGTAACAGATCAGTTGTCCTATGTGGCTCTAAAACCTGGAGTACAACCAAAAGAGAAAAACCTTATTACAAACTTTTGAGACAGTCTTGTAATACATTTTTAGACCCATCAAAGATATAAACAGTAGAGAATAGAGAATGAGAAGCAACAAAGAAATGAATGATCTGTTTAAATCATTACTTACGACCGGCATCATGAGGGTTAGCAGACTGCAAAGGTTGGGACTTGTATAGAGAATGGCAGAGTAAGAGAGAAACAAAAACTTCATGCACAGAAGAGTTGAATGGGAGCAGTCCATGAGGCAGAACAGGCAGATGGTGGAGAGACAGTATACAGGCAGACTTACAAAATCTTTTTTTTCTTCTTTTTTTTTTTTTTTTTTTTTTTTTTTTAGGACGCAATTTTTTGTTATTTGAAGCCCCACTCTGGCTTTTGCCAGGGGCCGCAATATAGGCAGGCCATCAATATGGCCAATTGTCTGAACGTGGTTTCTGGGACCTCTCCACGGTGATCCTCATCCGCATGGTGGCACTTTGTGTCATCGGGTGTTTATCGCTTGTGTGATGCCATGGTGGGGTAGAAAGTCAAGTCAAGTCAAGACTTACAAACACTTGCAGTCACCAACTGGAAAGAGAAGGCCAATCAAGTAAAAAACATGCATGTTCTGGGGGCCCATTTTTGTGTGTAGAGGAAAAGGGGAGAAAAGGGGGGGGGGGCATACAAAATACTCATAACAAGCATGCCATAAAAGGAGATTAATTAGAGCTAGGGGAGTTGCTGTGGCTGAGCAGCTAGACGCTCACCGTGGATTGGAAGGTCGTGGGTTCGCTCCTTGGCAGAGCCGGACTGTTCAAAAACAATCTTGGCTCCCAGGTCGACCCAGCCTTGAGTGGGTACCGGGTGCAGTCCTGAGAAGTAAAGGCAGCTGGCGTGATGCTGACCACATCACCCATCTTGTGCCGATTGGTTTATAAAAATATAGATCTAGCCCTATATGCCTTATAAGCCTAAAGGCGTGGAAAAGGGTCCTAATTAGAGCTAGGTGAAATTAGATGTGTTTGATCAAAAGGGGATGATACAGCAGTCTGCTGTAAATACAAAAACAAAGTGTCAACTGCCCTTTCAAGGGCGAAGAAGAAGAAGTGGATGTAAGAATAAACTTACCCTGGCATGTGGTTGCTCCAGTTTGTTGATAACCTGGTTTGCAGACGCAGCTGAAGCTCCCTGGTGTGTTCACACAGGTAGCGCTGTAAGGGCATGGGGCCGAGGCCACACATTCGTTATCATCTGAAACAGAACACAGACAACTTTACATCATGGCCACAAATAGATGAACAGTTCAGAATCTGTAGCAGACAATGTTCAAACATTTAGTACTATACAATTCACCAATATATTTACTGATTACTCTGTACTTTAAGCCAAAAAGATACAAACAATAGATTGCACAATTTATCACTGTATCTCATCAGGTGCATACTACAGTAACAATGACACAAATAAAACAGATAAATAGATCACAATGAGGAAACACTGCTTTGATTTTCTGAAATTCTACTTTGTCTGTGCAGATGATCCTGTGCAAATTAAATAAAACAAAAAAAAAAAAACTTTATCACATGGCTACATGCATATGAACAGTTTATTAGAAATACTTCTACAGTGCTATAAACAGTTAAACACCTGTAATATACAATTCTACAGCTGTATCAACATATCAACAGCTGTATTGACACTTCAAAAGCTGTATAAACAGCTCAACAGGTGTATAAATAGCTCAACAGATGTATAAACAGCTCAACAGATGTCTAAACAGCTCAACAGATATCTGAACAGCTCGACAAATGTCTAAACAGCTCAACAGATCCCAGATGTATAAACAGCTCAACAGATGTAAAAACAGCTCAACAGATGTATAAGCAGCTCAACATATGAACCATAGCAATACTAAACTGTCAGTACCAGACATGAACTGATTACTTTGTACTTTTTTTATTTGGAGGGTACCCTGTTCAAATAAAAAAAAAGGCTGTAACTGCGGTTGGTGGTTACACGTCAGTTTTTATTTTAAACAAGAATTGTTTTAGTAGTAAACAATTTTGATAAACTTATCTTGGTTTTTAAATCAAATTTTTTAAAGTTTTTAAGTAGATATAATTTTGGCATAAAAAAAAAAAAAACTACAGAGGCTCTTTAGAGTTTGGGAATGAAAAGAGTTACTAAAAGAAATAAACAAGAGAGAATTGAAATATTTTGGTCACATTAAAAGATATAACACTCTTTAAAAAAACCCAGACTTGAGGGAAAGGTCGAGGGCAAGAAAGCAAGAGATAGACAATAATACAATGGGAAGGACAACATTAAGAGATGGATGGAGAGTGTACAACCAAGACAAGAGACAGAGAGTGTTGCAGATCTATTGCAGCCAACATTCACTGTGGAGACAACACCCAAATGATATAATAATAATAATAATAATAATAGTAATAATAATAATAATAAACTGTTTTATTAAAATTGTAAAAAAAAAAATCTAAAAAAGTTAGTCAATGAATTAATCCCTAAAATGCCATCAACCACAACAGGGTTTGGCTGCAACACTCTCAACTTGTTCTGCCCTGTCACATAACTGAGTGGCTGATAAACAACATCCTCTCCAGAAAGCTGATATACTTCGGCCATGTTAAACATCACGGTGGCCTGGAGAGAATGACAGAGGGTTCAGTTTGTGGTACATGAGGCAGAGGCAGAGGCGGCCCTCCGTGAAAGTGGATACAAGAAATTGAAGGTATATTGGCTAGGAAAGCACATAGGGCTGAAGTACTGGCTAGAGCAGTGTTTCCCAAACCTTTCTTAGTCCACGCCGCCCTAATCTAAGTAAAAGTATGACTATTCTTATGTAAAAGATAAAAAAAAAAAAACACACTTGTGTTTCATTGAATATGTGGCAGCGCCCCTGTAAAGAGGTCGCGCTTCCCAGGGGCGCTGCAGAGCACAATTTTAGGAATGACTGGGCTTAAGAGAAAGAAAGAGAGAGAGAGAGAGAGAGAGAGAGAGAGAGAGAGAGAGAGAGAGAGAGAGAGAGAGAGAGAGAGAGAGAGAGAGAGAGAGAGAGAGAGAGAGAGAGAGAGAGAGAGAGAGAGAGAGAGAGAAACTTTCAGGCAAGCAGCGAAAACAGTGAAATTTTGTAAAGGACTTGCTAACTGATAAATTAATATATTCATTTATTCAGTCAGGAGGCCACCGTGGTGTAGCAAGCTAGATGCTTGCCTGTGGAGCAGAAGGTCAGTGTTCGGATCCTGAAAAAAGCCAAACTTTGAAAATAAAATTACCTTGGTTCCTGGGTCAACCCAGCTTTAAACGGTCTACAGTCCTGGGAAGTGAAAGTGGCGGCAGGATGTTGACCACATCATCTGCTGAGTGCAGATTGGTCTATTAAATATAGGTCTAGCCGTATGTGCCCTATATGCCTAAAGGCGTGGAAAAGGGTCCTTTACTTTTCTGTATTCAGTCAGGAACCTTGGGAGCACGGGAGTTAGACACTATCCTGCTGACTGATGATAATGGTGATGATGATGGGGGAGGGGGGGGGGGGGTGGTTGGGAGGGGGCTGAGTTGTTTCGAGGTATGGCGTCCACCTCGAGTGCTGGAGGTCCCGGATTCAAACCCGTGTGAAGGCTGGGATTTTTTCACATTGACTTCTAGTAATTTCCCCCGGTCTCTGGGTAGTTAGATCGGACGCCTGTGTATATTATTGCGCATGTAATAAATCCTTTGGCAGTTAGAAATAAAAAAAGAGTAGCCTAACGGCACTGCCTGGTCAAAATTTGAAGTTAAACATCTACCCACAGTATTTTAGGATCCTCGCCGGTGCTACAGAGTCCGTGCACTGCGCTAAGAATCTTCAGACACATGCTTGAGTTAGAAGTGAAACTGAGCAATTATGGGTTATACCCAAGTGTCATGATGTTAAACCATTGAATAGACATAAACAGAAGAAAACAATGATGATAATGACAATGATAATGAGGATGTCGATAATGTCAATGATTATGATGATAATGATAACGATAACGATGATAATGATGATGATAATTATGATGTCAACAGTGATAATGATGATGATTGTCCATCTTTTGTTTGTTCATTTTCTAGACTGGAGTGGAGCAAAACATCAAATATCAGAAGCATATATGGCCTGCTAACTGTACAACTTACCAATACATTCTCGCCCATTAGCCCTAGCCTGGAGGCTATTGACAACTACACCTTTGCCATTCCAACCTGGGGGGCAGACACATCGATAACCCTCATCCTGGTCAATACACGTAGCTTGTGGATGGCAGTCATGGAAGCCAAGGTCACACTCGTTAAACTCTGCAATATGTTACAAAGCCAAAGTCACACTCGTTAAACTCTGCAAAATGTTATAAAACCAAGGTGACACTTGTCAAACTCTGCAAAATGTTCTAAAACCAAAGTCATACGTGTCAAACTCTGCAAAATGTTATAAAACCAAGGTCATACGTGTCAAACTCGGCAAAATGTTATAAAACCAAGGTAACACTTGTCAAACTCTGAGAAATGTTACAAAGCCAAGGTCACACTCCTCAAACTTTGCAAAATGTTACAAAGCCAAGGTCACACTCGTCAAACTTTGCAAAATGTTACAAAACCAAGGTCACACTTGTCAAACTCAATCTTATCCCACAACCAATGCCATGCAATCCCAAACAAACCCCTGCCACAAAACTCCACCACCCCTGCCACAACGCTCCACAACCCCTGCCACAACGCTCCACAACCCCTGCCACAACGCTCCACAACCCCTGCCACAAAACTCCATAACCCCTGCCACAAAACTCCACAACCCCTGCCACAAAACACTACAACCCCTGCCACAAAACTCTACCACCTCTGCCACAAAACTCTACAACCCCTGCCACAAAACTCCACAACCCCTGCCACAAAACTCCACAACCCCTGCCACAAAACTCTACAACCCCTGCCACAAAACTCCACAACCCCTGCCACAAAACTCTACAACCCCTGCCACAAAACTCTACCACCCAGGCCACAAAACTCCACAACCCTGCCACAAAACTCTACCACCCCTGCCCCTCAGGCTCCATCAAAGGTCAAACAAAACTTACTGAGAGGTTTCTGAGAGCAGTAGAGGTCACTAACAGTCAAGCTGGCGTCCTTGAACTGTGCGTAACGTCCGACTATGAACTGTGTTATGGGAAGGTACTCTTTCAGGTTGATGAACCCTGCGTCTGCTCTGGTGGTGTTATCTCCGTAGTCACAGTTGCAGGGTCTGGCAAGAATAGCAGTATGTGAAAGGCTGGCCAGTACAACCACTAGTTGAATTAATGTTCAATGTCGAATTAAAAATCAACACCATAGCACTCAGGCCATTTCCATAAGCGCCCCGTACCCATCTTCAGCAGCAAGCCAAGAGTTCCAGTTCCGATAGTACCAAAAACTGTCTGATTGTTTATTCATCTCACCTTTTTTTTGAGAGTTAAGCGACACCCTGATTTCTTCGTAACCCTCCCCCTTCCCCCCACCCCCGCAGCGCTATTCTCCTTAGACCTTATTGATCTGTTTGTGCCTCCACACTGTTCACTCACCCCTAAATGGCCCTTACAACATCTAGCTTGTCATACATCAGTTCCCCACCAAGTTTTGCAGAAGCAGCCAGTCTATCTGCCTCCTTGTTTCCAAACAAACCAGCATGACCTGAAAATTATCCAAAGAACGCTAATCATCAAGGACCTCTGAAGCGATGCTTCAGGTACTCAGCTATGAGCATGCCTGTCGCCATCTTTCTCAACATACTCTGTAAGTCAGTTATAATTACGACATATGTGTACAGCTGATTCTCAGTCCAGCCGAAGGCAGCAGTGACTGCCTCCACTTTTTCCTTAAACGTTGTGATATCATATGCCAGGTTTTGTTGCACTAAGCGAGGTCCATACGTAAGCTGTGGCATCCAAACAGCACCCCCGTGTCACCCTTACAGTAAAACAGCAAATAATTAACAGTATCTCATCTTCAAGCTTCACTGGGAAGGTCGCGGTTAGTGAGCATACTTTGGATCTTTTCCCCAGGCCATGCCGACGTAGTGGGTAATGAACAGGCAGACAGATTGGCTGGATCTGCACCACTGGGTGGTGAATTGATATATGACAAAGCATATGTGGTCAAGACCCTGTAGGAACAAGCAACGGAATCAGTAGAGAAAGAATATTATTATGGCCTGGAGAGAATGAGGCACCTGGGTGTAACCAGAGGGTCTGGCCGGCTGACTACACTCAGAGGAAAGGCAAGACGGACATATAACTAGTTTGTGACCTGTACCATCAGTATCGGAACTCTGCGCTGGCTGCTGAAGATGAGGATGGAGCGCTTATGGGAATGCCATGAGGGCTGTGATATCAATTCTTGACTCAACTCAACTCAACTCAACCTATCTTCATTTTGAGCTACTTTATGATAAAGCAGACATGGTGAAGGTTCTGCGGGATCAAATTGACAATGCAATAGAACAGGCAGAAGAGACTTTATACCTTGAAAGACATAAATTTATCGGGGAAAAAGGGGGGGGGGGGAGAAAAGAAGATCCAGAAGATATTAAACAATGAGGTAGAAACATAGGCATACTTTTAACTGGGCTGCAACTGGTTCTGTTAGCATATTAACTCATTGTTGGCGACTAAGAAAAGGGATAGAGCTCGTCTAGGAATGCCCTGAGTTCAGTGAGTCAATTCTTAAATCAATCAATCCCCATTTTGTGTTGTCAGTGCCAAACATGGACACTGGGCAGTTCACAGGAACAAAAATACCGGGGAAATGCGCTGTCTTCAAAAGGTCAGAAACAGCTCAAGATGTGACAGAGTCATGAATACTACCATTATAGAAAAGGTGCAACAAGATATTAATTGACACTCAAAGACGGGGACAGGAAGTTTTTGGCCCTCTAGTGAGAAAGCAGCTCAGCCAAACTGTAGATGAAATCTTCTACAGCAGAATATTTGGGCAGAAGTCAAGAGGAAGCCCAAGAGTGATAGACGGTGTAGCCAAATCATAAGCGCAGCTATATTTGTGCATGTGTGCGCTTGTGCGTGCATGCACACACACACACACACACACACACACACACACACACACACACACACACACACTCACACACAAAGGGCATCATTCAAGCCACTAGAGGATTTAAGATAAATACAGAAAAACGAAATCACTTTGATATAACTGGTAACAGTCAGTTGTTAGTCGAGGGGGTTCTAATATCACTGCAGAGAGAAAACTGGTTGTTCACGTGCCAGTGGAAATCACACAAAATATCCCTAACTGTTATATTTATAAACACGTGAAAACTTGTCACTCCCAGCAAAATCTTAAAGCTTGCACACGTTAACTCTTTGAGTCCCATGCGGCTTAGCATCAGATGCCCAAGGAATAGTCAAGAGAAACGTAAAATCGGCGCATGTTGTGCTCACTGTGCATATGGGTAGGAACATATGAACGTATGATGCGAACCTTGGGACTAAAAGAGTTAAGTAAAAATGAATAAAGCAGCTGTCAGCTGTCCGGTAACTGTGTGATGGCAAAAGACGAACCACAAATCAACTCGCCTATCTTCATCAGTCACCCCATACAAATTAGTTTGTATCATAATAAAAGCATAAGAAAGGTTCCACTGTGTTGTAAGTAATATACAGAAACAACAAGGTGGGGAACTTCTGGGGATGAAGAAGTCTCATCATCATCCATACATTTTACAGATCTGGCTAACTTGTATGCAGACTGTTGGTTCCTCGCCTCTCAGGCAGATGTACTCTGACTTTGAAGGAATCATAAGAGACAAGTTGTGAGATTTGTCACGATAGTGTTGACCTCATCCTATCAAAAACTTTGTAAAATCCTACCAATTATTCAACAATAAATATGTTAAATTATGCTGTCAACGTATATTTAATATTAAAATGCTGTAGAAAAATTCCTCGAAATCAACGGACCAAGAAGAAGAAACATTTTGACATCCTGCACGACCTGAACATCAAGTAAACTGGCTCATAAACAGCATCCTGTCCCAAAAAACTGAAGTATTTTGGACATGTCAAGCGCTATGGTCATCTGGAGAGAACAGTGATGGACAGTACAGTTTCTGGAAAATGAAGAAAAGGCCAACATCCATGAAGGTGGATACAAGACATTGAAGATGCATTGGCTATGAAAGTACACAGGGCTGGAGAACTTGCCAGAGAAAGTAAGACTTTCCGGTGTGCGTGAAGAAAGGGACATTCTGTAAAGGACATGCTGAATGATTAATTGAAACTCAGTTATCTTATAATGATTGATTGAAACTCGGTTATCATATAATGATTGATTGAAACTCAGTTATCTTATAATGATTGATTGAAACTCAGTTATCTTATAATGATTGATTGATACTCAGTTATCATATAATGATTGATTGAAACTCAGTTATCTTATAATGATTGATTGAAACTCAGTTATGATATAATGATTGATTGATACTTAGTTATTATATAATGATTTATTGATACTCAGTTATCATATAATGATTGATTGATACTCAGTTATCATATAATGATTGATTGATACTCAGTTATCTTATAATGATTGATTGATACTCAGTTATCATATAATGATTGATTGAAACTCAGTTATCTTATAATGATTGATTGAAACTCAGTTATCTTATAATGATTAATTGAAACTCAGTTATCTTATAATGATTGATTGAAACTCAGTTATTTTATAATGATTGATTGATACTCAGTTATCATATAATGATTGATTGATACTCAGTTATCTTATAATGATTGATTGAAACTCAGTTATCTTATAATGATTGATTGATACTCAGTTATCTTATAATGATTGATTGATACTCAGTTATTATATAATGATTGATTGAAACTCAGTTATCTTTTAATGATTGATTGAAACTCAGTTATCATATAATGATTGATTGATACTCAGTTATCATATAATGATTGATTGAAACTCAGTTATCATTAAATGATTGATTGAAACTTAGTTATCTTATAATGATTGATTGATACTCAGTTATCTTATAATGATTGATTGAAACTCAGTTATCATATGATGATTGATTGATACTCACTTATCATATAATGATTTATTGATACTCAGTTATCATATAATGATTGATTGATACTCAGTTATCTTATAATGATTGATTGAAACTCAGTTATCATATAATGATTGATTGATACCCAGTTATCATATAATGATTGATTGATACTCAGTTATCTTATAATGATTGATTGAAACTCAGTTATCATATAATGTTTGATTGACACTCAGTTATCTTAAAATGGTTGATTGAAACTCAGTAATCATATAATGATTGATCGAAACTCAGTTATCTTATGATTATTGATTGATACTCAGTTATCATTAATTGATTGATTGATACTCAGTTATCTTATAATGATTGATACTCAGTTTTCATATAATGATTGATTTAAACTCAGTTATCATATAATTATTGATTGATACTTAGTTATCTTATAATGATTGTTTGATACTCAGTTATCATATGATGTTTGATTGACACTCAGTTATCTTAAAATGGTTGATTGAAACTCAGTAATCATATAATGATTGATTGAAACTCAGTTATCTTATGATGATTGATTGATACTCAGTTATCATTAATTGATTGATTGATACTCAGTTATCTTATAATGATTGATACTCAGTTTTCATATAATGATTGATTTAAACTCAGTTATATAATTATTGATTGATACTTAGTTATCTTATAATGATTGTTTGATACTCAGTTATCATATGATGATTGATTGATACTCACTTATCATATAATGATTTATTGATAGTCAGTTATCATATAATGATTGATTGAAACTCAGTTATCATATAATGATTGAATGAAACTCAGTTATCTTATATTGATTGATTGATACTCAGTTATCATATAATGATTGATTGATACTAAGTTATCATATAATGATTGATTGAAACTCAGTTATCTTACAATGATTGATTGAAACTCAGTTATGATATAATGATTGATTGATACTCCGTTATCTTTTAATGATTGATTGATACTTATTTATGATATAATGATTGATTGAAACTCAGTTATCTTATAATGATTGATTAAAACTCAGTAATCTTATAATGATTGATTGAAACTCAGTTATCTTATAATGATTGACTGAAACTCAGTTATCTTATCTAGATGAGTTACATTTTCTGACCTTGTTCTTTGTCCACTGGCTGAGTCCAAACCTCCACAGTTAAGCTCTTTCCCACAAGCACACACCCCAGTAAGGTTTCCAGTCCTGGGCTGACCGCCACCCCAGAAGGTCCGGCGATCAGTAGATCCAGCACTCAGCCAGTACCCACCCTGACTGAACAGCTTAAATAGAAAATGTTACAGTAAAATTTCATACACAAAAGAGCTGAAAGAGAGTAGTAGACCATGAGGCAGATCAAGAAGGTGGTGGAGATTTGAGACACTGAGACTTGGTGAATATTAACTCGCTTAAGAAGAATAATCAGTTAACATGAACACTATTTTGGTCCAAGCAGGATTTTATTACTATTAGTTACCATTTAGGAAGCATTTTTTATATAAGAACTCCTAATATTTTGGTCCTTTGGAATTTGTGTAAGTGAAGTCGCCAACTGGAAAGAGGCCACACAGAGAGATTAACATAAATAAACACAAGGGGAACCCTTGAAGCCGTAGAAAAAACCGACAATGTATTGATTAGCACTCACAGAAAGAAGTAGAAAGATAGAAGGACACATTAGACAACATAAAAATTGAAAGCCATAGTTACTGTGCTGGGAATCGAACCTGTCATCTTCAACTAAGTACTTGTGAACCTGTCACAAGTTGCTGTCAAAAATGTCTGATAAGAATGGCGCTGGGGGGAGTTACTAGGGGATCTGGCCGACATTCAAAACTTAAGGGAAAGGTAAGACGGATATACAATTAGACAGTTACTGGTACCATTGAAATTAAAACTCTTCACTTGCTCCTGAAGATGGGGACAGAGCACTTAAGGGAGTCTACCGCATGCTAAGATGTCGATTCTTAATTCAACATTCAATATATTGAAAACATTTTGTTTTGACTATTGTTACTTTTCAGGTGAGTAATTATCAGGTGAGTAAAGTTCATAAAGTTCAGGTCCACACATGAAGGCAATGATCAGGTGAACACTTCTGGCAATTTTCTTTTGTCTGAGCAGGAAGCTTCTTTTTCGGTCACAACATCTCATGTGCTGCATTTCTTTTTGTGGACAGTACAGTTATTCATGTAACATTCTTCTTGTAATTTTTGCCCCTCCCCCCCCCCCACATATAAGCACTAAGATTTAATGAAATTTCAGTGGCGCTGTGATTTATGTCACAGGAGTGAGGGGAAGTTAAGTCCAACATGATGTGTATAAGGAGATACTCCGTATGTCACTCGGGCGCCAGTCCTTTACTGTTCTGGTTTTACGGAACCTCACCCAAGACCCCTGCAGCACGTCCTCGTCGTGCGCCACGGATAATGTCTCAAATGAGCATTAACAGAGCTGTCAGGGGATCTCGAAGTTTGGCGGCCCCCAGAGGTGATGTGTCCTTGTGGCTCTCATCAGCCCGCCCCCAAACGCTTGGGTGAAAAAGGTTATCAAATCTCATTTGGAACATGAGTATGCTTGCCAAACGTACAGCTAAAATCACAACCCTTGGTTAAAAGATTGCGGAGTGAAGAGAACATTGTTCACTGTACATCCTCTGTTAACCCTCCGTGTCATCGTCACCGCGCTGAGGTACACCACAACAGCAACCATCCCTAGGCTGGCCATCCATGTACATCCTCGGTTAACCCTCTGTGTCGTCGTCACCGCGCTGAGGTACACCACAACAGCAACCATCCATAGGCTGGCCATCCATGTACATCCTCGGTTAACCCTCAGTGTCGTCGTCACCGCGCTGAGGTACACCACAACAGCAACCATCCATAGGCTGGCCATCCATGTACATCCTCTGTTAACCCTTAGTGTCGTCGTCACTGCGCTGAGGTACACCACAACAGCAACCATCCATAGGCTGGCCATCCATGTACATCCTCGGTTAACCCTCTGTGTCGTCGTCACCGCGCTGAGGTACACCACAACAGCAACCATCCATAGGCTGGCCATCCATGTACATCCTCGGTTAACCCTCAGTGTCGTCGTCACCGCGCTGAGGTACACCACAACAGCAACCATCCATAGGCTGGCCATCCATGTACATCCTCGGTTAACCCTTAGTGTCGTCGTCACCGCGCTGAGGTACACCACAACAGCAACCATCCATAGGCTGGCCATCCATGTACATCCTCGGTTAACCCTCAGTGTCGTCGTCACCGCGCTGAGGTACACCACAACAGCAACCATCCATAGGCTGGCCATCCATGTACATCCTCGGTTAACCCTTAGTGTCGTCGTCACCGCGCTGAGGTACACCACAACAGCAACCATCCATAGGCTGGCCATCCATGTACATCCTCGGTTAACCCTTAGTGTCGTCGTCACCGCGCTGAGGTACACCACAACAGCAACCATCCATAGGCTGGCCATCCATGTACATCCTCGGTTAACCCTTAGTGTCGTCGTCACTGCGCTGAGGTACACCACAACAGCAACCATCCATAGGCTGGCCATCCATGTACATCCTCGGTTAACCCTCAGTGTCGTCGTCACCGCGCTGAGGTACACCACAACAGCAACCATCCATAGGCTGGCCATCCATGTACATCCTCGGTTAACCCTCTGTGTCGTCGTCACCGCGCTGAGGTACACCACAACAGCAACCATCCATAGGCTGGCCATCCATGTACATCCTCGGTTAACCCTTAGTGTCGTCGTCACCGCGCTGAGGTACACCACAACAGCAACCATCCATAGGCTGGCCATCCATGTACATCCTCGGTTAACCCTTAGTGTCGTCGTCACCGCGCTGAGGTACACCACAACAGCAACCATCCATAGGCTGGCCATCCATGTACATCCTCGGTTAACCCTCTGTGTCGTCGTCACCGCGCTGAGGTACACCACAACAGCAACCATCCCTAGGCTGGCCATCCATGTACATCCTCGGTTAACCCTTAGTGTCGTCGTCACCGCGCTGAGGTACACCACAACAGCAACCATCCATAGGCTGGCCATCCATGTACATCCTCGGTTAACCCTTAGTGTCGTCGTCACCGCGCTGAGGTACACCACAACAGCAACCATCCCTAGGCTGGCCATCCATGTACATCCTCGGTTAACCCTCTGTGTCGTCGTCACCGCGCTGAGGTACACCACAACAGCAACCATCCATAGGCTGGCCATCCATGTACATCCTCGGTTAACCCTCTGTGTCGTCGTCACCGCGCTGAGGTACACCACAACAGCAACCATCCATAGGCTGGCCATCCATGTACATCCTCGGTTAACCCTCAGTGTCGTCGTCACCGCGCTGAGGTACACCACAACAGCAACCATCCATAGGCTGGCCATCCATGTACATCCTCGGTTAACCCTCAGTGTCGTCGTCACCGCGCTGAGGTACACCACAACAGCAACCATCCATAGGCTGGCCATCCATGTACATCCTCGGTTAACCCTCAGTGTCGTCGTCACCGCGCTGAGGTACACCACAACAGCAACAGCCCATGGGCTGGCTAAGCTTAAATAGCCGACAAAACTAGATCCTACGGCACACGAGTAGATCAAAATCTGACCATCACAATTTGTATTGAATGGGAAAAATTCCAAATGTCCACACCCAAAGCCCACACTCGCCCGAGTGTTGGGACCAAACTGATAACGATATGCCTGACGGAGGATGTAAAATTCTGTCGGGCTAACGGCTTGTCAAAGAAATCTAACGTGCGAAGAAAAAAGAATGTACTTATTCGTGTGGTCACAAAAGTCCAAAACCCACGGGCTGCTCCCCGCTGTCTTCCAGAGGGCGCAGCCCTTGTCGAGCGGGAAGCCTAATACGGTTGTGAGGTTAAGCAGGCATGTGCATGACGATTCCTTGGGTGAGCCCAGAACCAGAGCGCCATGTGCCGGCTCTGCATACATGGAAGCCTCCTTGGATGGCGGGGAATGCCCATGATCTGCCCCTGCCTTCCCTTGAGGGCTAACCGTTCCACAGGGGGCTGCCCCAAGGGGGTACTCCGGGGGCAATACCTGCGGAGAAGGAGACAAAGTTGACACCAAATCAGGCAACGTCTCGACCCACACAAAACAATGGCCACAGTCACCCTAGAAAAAGGCCTGACGTCTTCCTTCGAAGTCTAAGTACAGCTGCCCATGAGGCAGGGAACAGTAAAACGGTTGTACACGCAAAAATCAGGTCCAGGTGAAAGCCAAAAGTCCAAGCGGACGATTAACCGGGACCTTCCGCCGGAATTTACAGCCGGTGAACGATTAAAAAAAAAAATGAAATTTCAATCAGAAAACACACTGAACTGGCTCGGCATATTTTCCTTGTCTGGTTTTTCTATGCATGCACTAAGATTTAATGAAATGTCAAAGACAACACTCACTGTACTGGCTCTGCAGTTATATTTGACTCCCTGGTAGCAGTACTTGGACTGCTGAATGAGGGCCAGCAACTGGTCCAGTGATGGAGCATAATAGGAGACGTTGACGGCTGTCCCTGCTGCACGCAGGGTGACTGTTCCATTGACCACTTTAAAAACAGTGACACCTGTTTAAGGAGAGTTACATAGATTACCTTGGGTCTAGCAACCATGGGTTGTGGATGGGACAGAAGAGTTATGAGCAGGACAGGGGAAAGTTGTGGGTGGGGCAGAGGAGAGTTGTTGTCAGGATAGAAGACAGCTGTGAGTGGGACAGAGGAGAGTTGTGGGTGGAGCAGAGGAGAGTTGTGGGTGGGGCAGAGGAAAGTTATGGGTGGGACAGAGGAGAGTTGTGGGTGGGGCGGAGGAGAGTTGTGGGTGGGGCGGAGGAGAGTTGTGGGTAGGGCGGAGGAGAGTTGTGGGTGGGGCGGAGGAGAGTTGTGGGTGGGGTAGAGGAGAGTTGTGGGTGGGGCAGAGGAGAGTTGTGGATGGGGCGGAGGAGAGTTGTGGGTGGGGCAGAGGAGAGTTGTGGGTGGGGCAGAGGAGAGTTGTGGGTGGGGCAGAGGAGAGTTGTGGGTGGGGCAGAGGAGAGTTGTCGGTGGGGCAGAGAAAAGACAAGTGCTGCTTGCATATTTTATCATATAGCTGTGTATTTATTTACTGTCTGTTATGACAATAGTTGTGAATCTACAGCTGTTCAGTTATTTACCGTTTGATTTGACAATAGTTGTGAATCTATGTCTGTGCATGTATTTACTCTGTGTTATGACAATTGTTGTGAATCTATGGCTGTGCATTTATTTACTGTCTGTTATGACAATAGTTGTGAATCTACAGCTCTGCATTTATTTACTGTTTGATTTGACAATAGTTGTGAATCTACAGCTGTGCATTTATTTACTGCCTGTTTTGATAATAGTTGTAAATCTATAGCTGTGCATTTATTTACTGTCTGATTTGACAATAGTTGTGAATCTACAGCTGTGCATGTATTTAGTGTCTGATTTGACAATATTTGTGAATCTACAGCCGTGCATTTATTTACTGTCTGTTATGACAATAACTGTGAGTCTACCGCTGTGCATTTATTTACTGTCTGTTTTGATAATAGTTGTGAATTTACAGCTGTGCATTTATTTACTGTCTGATCTGACAATATTTGTGAATCTATGGCTGTATATTTATTTACTGTCTGATATAACAATAGTTGTGAATCTATGGCTGTGCATTTATTTACTGTTTGATTTGACAATAGTTGTGAATCTAAAGCTGTGCATTTATTTAGTGTCTTTTATGACAATATTTGTGAATCTATAGCTGTGCATTTATTTAGTGTCTGATATGACAATATTTGTTGATCTATGGCTGTGCATTTATTTACTGTCTGTTATGACAATAGTTGTGAATCTACAGCTGTGCATTTATTTACTGTCTGTTATGACAATAATTGTGAACAATATGACTGTGAACCCTGGGCAATTAATAAACATGCAAAACAATTTCTTGAGGCTTTAGAGATGTAATTTTATAGAAAGAGACAGTTATAGCTTTTTGGGTCATGTTATGATTGGAAGATAACTGGAACATGCTGTGACTACTGAAAAAGGCTGTAGAAAAAGAGACAGACAAAGACAATGTGAGAAGATTCTTGACAGCCTTTGTGTCGTCACAGTTAGGAGTGTCAGCATATCAAGTGATATATGATGTTGAAGATTCCAGATTATGCAGAGGCATGAATGCCCATGTCTGTTGGCAAGGCATTTGATAGGGATGATAAGAATTAATTCACAAAAGCCACACATCTGTCAAAAAGCATCAATGGTGCAAACTCACCAACTCCAGGGTTAAAGTTAAATTCGCAGCGAGCCATATATGGCTTCACAGATAGTGGGTTAGGTGATATGAGATATTCTGCACTGTAAGCGTAGGAGACTCCGAAACGACTTCCAATCTCCTGAGCAGCGGCACAGTCTCGAGGTGGATCTGAAGTTTTGAGATTATGCTATTAATGAAAGGTCTTAATTATGAAATGTCTTAATTAATTCACCATCATCATCATAAATTAGCAGGTTCTCAGAACGCTGCTCTTGTCACGGCACACCTGAAAGTCTTTTTCTGGCCAATTCTCCAGCCACAGCATCTTTAATGTCTTCTATCAATATTCACGATGGTCAGCCTCTGCCTCATTTACTAGAACGATGCTTGTCTCATATTTTTGTATAAACCAATCGTCCCTCGAGGACTTGAGTTGAGTTGAGTCAAGAATTGACATCACAGCACTCGGCGCATTCCCATACACCCTTTGTCTCCATCCTCAGCAGCCAGCGCAGAGTTCCAATACTAATGGTGCCAGTCGTAGTCTGGTTGTATGTCCGTCTTGCCGAACCCTCCGGGCGAACCCTCTGGTCACACCCAAGTGCATCGTTCTCTCCAGCCCATAATAATCTAGTTTCTCTTCTGACTTCGTTTTGTTTGTTTGTTCCTTAAGGATCCCTCGATGACTAATGTGGTAAACACCAAAGCAGCTGCCTTTACTTCCTATTATTTTACCTGGTGCCAATTTGACTCAATGCAACCACACAGAGAGATGAACGGAGGTGGGTGATATCTGCATCAATGAAACTCAAAGACTCGGAATGCTGACAAAGAAGTCGAACATGATTTTTTTAAAACAAGGATTCTGAGACAGCTTGGGATCCAATCCCCTACCTCAGTACCTGTGTAAAGCATCACATCCTATTCTTGTCAGCTCTATCATTCTCACCCAAAACAACACATCAGGTGTGACTGGATTTACTCACGTGCCCTAGATAACTAATGCACCAGATAACATATGTACCAATTAGCAAATGCACCAGATAGCTTATGCACCAGGTAACACATGCACCAGATAACATATGCACCAGATAGCATATGCACTAGATAACATATGCACCAGATACATATGTACCAGATACATGTGCCCCAGAAAACAAATGCACCAGATACATATGCACTAGATACATATGCACCAGACAGCATATTCACCAGATAGCATATGCCCCAGATAGCATATGCACCAGATACATATACACCAAATAACATATGCATCAGATAACATATGCACCAGATACATATGCATTAGATGCATATGCACCAGATAGCATATGCCTCAGATAACATATGCTCCAGATAACATATGCACCAGATAACATGTGCACCAGATACCATGTTATGCTCATAAATTTTGTGTTTGTTCAAGACATAATAAAACAAAGCACCCAACAACACATTAGTCTCCCACAGGCGATGTGTATTTGTATTTGGGCACTGTGCATATAGTATACCCCTTATTTTGTTGATGTAACAATGGACTTACTGACCTGGGATCAAAAAAGTTAAAACCTGCATAGTCCATGGTGGGCATTTGAACCACATGTGCCTAAAAGGAAGGACCCCCTTTATCCGCCTTCAAGCGCACTGGGTATATAGGACTAGACCTACATTTCATAGACCAAACAGTGTTCAGAGGATGAATCATACTGACTGCCTTTACTTCCCATGACTTTACCTGGTACCTATTTAAGGCTGGGTCAACATGGGAGCAAGGTCATTTAATAAAAAAAAGTCTGGCTCTATCAGAATCTGGACCCATGACCTTTTGATCCGCAGGGAAGAGCTAGCTGCTACAATATCTGCAGGCTGAGAAGGCTAACCTGGTCAACGAATGCCCACAGAAGTCAGATGTGTCAGCCGCAAAGTGCAAATATTACAGCCATGATGTTAAGGGGCACAATGCAGTTACATCTTTGGATGAACGCACAAGAAAACTTCTGCATGAGCCAAAAGCAAAAGTCACAACCTCTGAGAAGTTTTGCCTCTGATGTGTTTACCATGAGAACAAATTGATTCCAAGCAAGTTTATGAACATTATTACCAACTGAAGCAAGAATTACCTATTGGCAAGGAGCTGCATCGAACGCCAGTCACTTTTATCTTAGCTGAGGATCGAGAACTGACCTGACCACCTATGGTCAATTTTGTGATGGGGAGCTGACTCTGGAAGAAAAGTAATTATTAGTTATTATAATGCATTGTTGAAAACAAGATATAACTTGTAAGCTGAAAGACGGATAAAACCTGTTAGTTAAAAGGATGACATGATCTGTTAGTGAAGCAGAATTTTGAAATTGTTAGTTGAAGGGAAGATATAACCTGCTAGTTGAAGGGATGATATAACATATTAGTTGAAGGGAAGACATAATCTATTAGCTGAAGAGAAGATATAACCTGTTAGTTGAAGGAAAGATATAATCTGTTAGTTGAAGGGAAGATATAATCTGTTAGTTGAAGGGATGATATAATCTGTTAGTTGAAGGGATGATATAACATATTAGTTGAAGGGAAGACATAATCTATTAGCTGAAGAGAAGATATAACCTGATAGTTGAAGGAAAGATATAATCTGTCAATTGAAGGGAAGATATAATCTGTTAGTCGAAGGGAAGATATAATCTGTTAGTTGAAGGGATGATATAACATATTAGTTGAAGGGAAGACATAATCTATTAGCTGAAGAGAAGATATAACCTGTTAGTTGAAGGAAAGATATAAACTGTCAATTGAAGGGAAGATATAATCTGTTAGTTGAAGGAAAGATATAATCTCTTAGTTGAAGGGAAGATATAATCTGTTAGTTGAAGGGAAGATATAATCTGTTAGTTGAAGGAAAGATATAATCTGTTAGTTGAAGAGAAGATATAATCTGTTAGTTGAAGGGAAGATATAATGTGTTAGTTGAAGGGAAGATATAATCTGTTAGTCGAAGGGAAGATATAGTCTGTTAGCTGAAGAGAAGATATAACCTGTTAATTGGAAATATATATTATCTGTTTGTTAAACAGAGTACTAGCTGCGGGAAAGAGTTGGAGGAAAGAAATAACATGTTAGCTGAAGGAAAGATTTAAATTGTTAGTTGAAGAGAAGATATAACCTGTTAGTTGAAGGGAAGATTATAACCTGTTAGTTAAGCAGAGAACTAGCTGCGGGAAAGAGTTGGAGGAAAGAAATAACATGTTAGCTGAAGGTAAGATTTAAATTGTTAGTTGAAGAGAAGATATAACCTGTTAGTTGAAGGGAAGATTATAACCTGTTAGTTGAACAGAGTACTAGCTGCGGGAAAGAGTTGGAGGAAAGAAATAACATGTTAGCTGAAGGAAAGATTTAAATTGTTAGTTGAAGAGAAGATATAACCTGTTAGTTGAACAGAGTTTTAGCTGAAGGTAAAGGTACAATTTGTTATTGGAAGACTTGGCTCATCAGTGAAAGGGAAAGCCAAGACAGTCCACACTTTAGGGTTGTAAGTGGAAATTCTAGGGCTGAAAGTGGAAACTCTAGGGCTGAAAGTTGAAACTCTAGGTCTGTAAGTGGAGACTCTAGGGCTGAAAGTGGAAACTCTAGGGTTGTAAGTGGAAACTCTAGGGTTGTAAGTGGAAACTCTAGGGCTGAAAGTGGAAACTCCAAATAGGTAGCTGATTAGGGGAGCGAAAATGAAGAAGTAGTGGTAGCAGCAGCAGTAGCAGCAGTAGTAGTAATAGAAGTAGCAGCAGCAGCACTGTAGAAGTAGCAGCAGCTGTAGAAGTAGCAGCAGCAGTGGTATTATTAGTAGTAGTAATAGCAGTAGTAGCTGCAACAGTAAAAGTAGTAAAAGCGGTAGTAGCAGAAGAAGCAGGAGCTTGAGAATACAGAAGATGGGCAAGCAGACAGGAGAAGAAGAAGAAAAAGTAGTAGTAAGAAGAGGGACAAGGAGAAAAGAAGAAGAGGAGGATGGACAAGAAGAGATGAAGAAAGAGAAGAAGCTGGAATAGAAAAAAAGAGGAGACAGACGAGAAGGAACAAAGAGTAGGAGAAAAAGAAAAGCAAAGTAATCCCAGATGACCACACCAGGTTTGCTAGCTGACCTTTTCAGTGACCACTCCCTGGTCGTAGGCAATGGGTTGGAGTGCATCGCAGTTGCAGGAGTAGCTGGAGGCACAAGTTCCCGTCAGAGCACAAGCACAGCCAGGAAAGTCCACATCGTAGCCTGTGGTTGAATGAAAAGAATAAAGATGACACATCAATAACACAATAAAATACTGAGGTACAAGATAGGTGAATATATAATAAAAAGAGTGTTAGCAGAGAGGACAGTGTATGTTAACATAAAGTACAGAATTGGTTAACATACAGTTCAGAATAAACAGAATGAACTAACATATGTACAGAACATAAGTACAGAATGAACTAACATGAGTACAAAATGAACTAACATAAGAACATAATGAGATCGCACAAGTACAGAATAAACTAACAGAAGTACAGAATAAACTAGCACAAGTACAAAATGAACTAACATAAGTACAGAATGAACTAATTTAATACAAAATGAACTAACATAAGTACAGAATGAACTAACATAAGTACAGAATGAACTAACATAAGTACAGAATGAACTAACATAAGTACAGAATGAACTAACATAAGTACAGAATGAACTAACATAAGTACAGAATGAACTAACATACGTTATATAATGTTCTAACATACAGTACATAATGAGCTAATTGATGGCACATACCTTAACTGATGATACAAAATTAATAACTTACAAACATACCTGTACCAAAACTACGAGATGATGGATGTCCATACAAGTCATAGCTTGAGGAGGGTGGATTTGTTCGGTTCACAAGCGGAGAAGAGCGGCAGTTGAACACAATTGCCTGTATAACAGACAGTCTATGTTATGTAGTTGAGTAATGTTTGAAAAAGGTAGTTTAAATCTAGACATCCACTGTATAAAAGAGGTAGTCCATATGTAGACAGGTATGGTATGAAAGAGGTTGTCTATATCTTTGACAGGTATGGTATGAAAGAGGTAGTCTATATCTAGACAGGTATGGTATGAAAGAGGTAGTCTATATCTAGACAGGTATGGTATGAAAGAGGTAGTCTATATCTAGACA